ACTCCGGAGTGGGTGTAACTTTTCACTTAATATTATGCATTTAGAACAACATGGTACTGTAGTCCAAAATGGTATACAAGAGCAGCCAATTCAAAGTACTGCCTTAAAGGCCACATCTTGGGCCCCCTGGCCCATAGTGCGATGCATTGATTGACATTGGAACCTCATATTACTATGAGCTACATAAATGGGAAATGTGCGAAATAAAGCATAGAGATTCCTACAACGCTCATGATTAGACTTCGTAGAACTATTTACATAGGTATATCTAATTAAATGAATAAGAAAATATGTATCTATGTATAAAAAAACATCGCTGAAATGTTCAAAAAAACAAAAATAATAAAAAAAACATAAGTGACAAAACGACAACTCCCTTCATTTTTATTCAGTTCCCTCGAACAATTACATGCATACCCAAATATCTCGTAAATTATGCTTATCTTGCTACTAATTAAACACCCAATTTCCCCTTTAATCTTCATCAAGGATTTGAATTTCCCACTCGGCGTCAGGTGGTGTGGTCGGGGAAAAATGAGCTTTTTACGCGATATTTGTCGAAAGCTTGGTGAAGAAAAATAAAAATGTTTTGATTGTCCGTTTCACAACATATTATCAATACTGAGAGGATGGAAACAAAAACTAAATATTTATCGAGTTTTTGACGACAAATACAATAAATAAACTTTTTAACATTGATCGATATATGCACCGTTAATAAATACATGCACCCAACGTATCACATACATAATTCTAATTATCATACGATTTCCAGAACGATGTGATGTCCGTCACGTCTGCAGGAGTGGTGTCACCTATCCAAGATAAGCATCAAATTACGGCATTATGAATGTTTAACTGCAACCTTAAGCTTCTTAATTAAGCTATCTTTTAAGATTAGCGAATAAATATTAAGCTAAATAAACCGTTGTAACGTTAGAATTAGCTCGCCCTGTAATACATAAGTGAAAGAAGTGGATGGAATTGGTAGACAATTTTGACATAATCTTCACTCTTATGATATCTATATATATATATACATGCATATATATGTATATCGAACGTAAAAAGTCCCCTACGAAATTAATTCCGTAAATTGCGTCATTTAAATTTAAATCTTTTGGGTAACTATGATGACATCATTTGGCAGATCAAACAAACATTGGAATAGGGGTAAACGTCATCGTCTAAATTTTTTGAGAATTAGCCAGGAAAGGAAATGAAGTAAATATTACATGCATGTTACTAGTATTTATGCACTAAAATGTACTTTTTCATCAATATTTTGGCGAAAAAGTGAAATAGTTTAATTCTTCTCGACGATTTAAAAAACCGGGACACTTTATCAAAACCGGGACATTTTCGGGACGCCGGGACAGGGTTTGAAAAGCGGGACATGTCCCGGCTAAACCGGGACGGATGGTCACCCTAGTTGCGTAGAACCATGCAATAATTGTTAACTAATGGTGCAAAATGAATGGTGAAAATTGATAGATAAGTTAAAGTTTGCACTAATGGTGCAGCAGAAATGGGGAAAATTGGTGCATAATTTTGACATGATTTCGAGGTTTTCGAGGTTACAAATGAAAGCAAAAGACAAACGAATAACATGCCCCATTGATGCGAGTTGCATCGGTTCGCCCATATTATATAACGCACCATTTATCGTTCCCGATTGTTCGTTCCCAACGGTGCCAATAATGTCAAAAAAATTGAGCGGGCTTATATAATTAGCATCAATTGATGCAAAAAAACTCGTGAACAGACAGACAGACGGACAAGAGGAATTCAATAGCTCTCATGCTACGTAGGGCGAGCTAATAAGCGTAGCAACTAAAAAGTCAAACATTTCTGTCATTCTGTATATGTGAATTCTGCATCCAGTTCTTATCCCACATTTAACCACTCTTTAACCTCATTATCTGATCACATATCCCGAAAAACGAACCGAATTGCTCAAACTTGGGCTCATTTTAATTTTCCTCTTCCCACAAAATGTTCCACTATGATTTGTTCCCCATGCTGAAAAATCACCTTGGAATTTGTAAAATTTTAAAGGCTATTCCGTACGAACTGGACTCAAAAACTGGACGCCTACGAAAACTGAAGAGTGTTCGGGATCTTCGCATCTTTCGGATTCAATGAATCTTCTCCGTTCTGTACATAACCACACTATTTCTGAACATCTGCTTCGGACCGCTCTCACTGAACGGGAAATTTCAAGGCGTCACTTTTTGTATGCTGTACTTTGTGGCGTCCTGTATGAAATGGAATTATTCTCTGGATATGGCGCCGATTCGGGTGATTCATGCCTTCCTGGATTTCGAAAATTACATCTTGAAGGGTGAGCCATGTAAGTTTTTTTCCTAATCCAGGGTTAGCAAAATTTGTAGTAGATCGGATGAGATTTACCTACCCACTTATTTAGATAAAATTCGTCACTTAAAAAGCTTGGATCCAGCGCTAGCTGGTTTGAAACTTTTACTATTTAAGACATTTTCGAACCAACCACCTACAAATATGTAAGCAATGGTTAGTTTTTTTTAACTAAGAGGCTATCCGCCATGAACTTTGCAGGTATAAAAGCCTCTTACTTAAAAAAATTAAACCATACTGGCTTTCACTTAAATTCGGATGAAACACAACTTTAACTAAATTGGTCACCAGTTGTGACCTTTTTAAGTGGCAAATTTCAGCTAATTAAGAGGCCTCAAAGTTAACTTTTGAATATTGGTGCAGATTCTGCTAAACTTGCAAGGTCTCTTGGCGAAAATCTTATGAAATTACTTATTCGAATCGCTGAAACGTCAGCCGTAGTCGTCCCATTTCTTCAATTGATATTGTTGCAATTTGCCCCGTGCACGCCACCCTTCATCTTCTCCACGATTCCGAACTGTTCTGTAACGGTGTCCAAGATCAATTGGATTGTGCGATTGGCTGTTCACATTTTCGAAACCTGGATGAGCCTCCAAATGGTGTTTGGTTGCACGGTGAACATTTTCTATGTTCTCTTTTCGGGCGTGATTTGTATCCTCTTCTATTTCCGGATTATAGAAAAGTAAGTCTTGGCTGCTATCTAAAATAACCTTGCCATTTAAATAAAATTACATTTCAATTTCATAATATCTTTGTAATTATCAATTTTAACAAATAATTTGGGAAAGTCATAACCATTTTAACAACCCCTAATTTTTGGGACAGGCATAATATCTTAAGGTGGTGTAACTCGGTCATAAATTTTAATCTCGTTCTACCACGATTATTTTTGGTACTAAATGCAAAACTGTCGATTTGAGAAGATAGGTTATTCATTTGTTGAGGAAATTTATAGCAAAAAAATTGCAAATCATGTAGTATTTATGTTTTTGCTCAATCTAAATCAAAGGTCGACGCCGAAAAATTTTCGGCGGCGGCGGCGCCAGTTTTTGGTGATTTTTCGGCAGCGGCGGCGCCAGTTTTTGGTGATTTTTCGGCGGCGTCGGCGGCGCGGCGCGGCGTCGCAATGTTGAAGGTATAGCAAATCAGATTTTTCGGCGGCGTCGACCTATCTAAATACTCCACATCATATCACGATTTTATTTCACTTTACCCCATTTTTATAATATAGCTCAATTTCTGCGATCCAAACTGATTCCGATCTGTAGAGAAATGTCTCCATCTCTGCAGATCCCTTCAAATCTTGGAGAAGTCCTTCAACGGCTACCCGATGAACAGAGTCGTTCCCGTCATGGTCTTTGGTATCCCAAGCATCGAAATAATCACGCTCTTCGTCGTCATCAATTTCTACCAGGATATAGCCCTCCCAGGATTCTTAGTGTTCCCCCTGCTCTGGATGAACACGACGCTGTGCAACATTGTTGCCTTCACTTCGGCGTCCCTGGTTCATACTGTGTCGGAAAAGACCCTGATCGCTCTGAAAAATCGGATGGTGACGATAAACTTGTCCCGGGGGAGGAAGGGGTCGATAATTAATCGAGAATTGAAAGCCTGCTCCGTCCTGAAGGTGAAATTCGGATCGAACTATATCGATCGCGGGACACCTCTTGTCATACAGAATTTCTGCATTAATCAAACTATGTCACTGACGCTGCGAAGGCGAATAAAATAGCGGCTTGAGGGGTGAATTCCTAAACATAGAAATTAATTTAGTGTCAGTGCTTGACTATATTTTAAGTAGTTCAGGTAGCAACTTGTCGATAAATTGACATTCTCAACTTATATTAGCTACGTGGATAAATTGCGAAATATTTAGAACATTTTTTACAGGATGCACCAACTTTTACCATTGCTGAACCTGGTAGATAAATGAATTTATAAAAAAGCTTTATACCGTAAATACTCTATTTATAGCCCGGGCTAAAATCCATAATTGAGTATCACAGACCCGGCTATAAATAGAGACCCGGCTAACTTTTGTTTTGATTATAATTTGGATTTCAAATGTCAAATTTTGAAACAGTTTAAGTTCAGCTTACGCAATTTGAGTAATGATTTTCCAGTTTTATCAATTAACAAAAGATCCTATAAGTACACCGGTAGATTTTCTAAAGCTGAGAGGCTGGAGGCTGAGAGGCTTGGAATACAGAGAGGTTATGGGAAGCCATAATTATTGACCCGGTCATAATTAGGGACCCGGCTATTATTTTGAAATCTCGGTCTCTAGACCCGGCTATAATTAGAATAGGGCTATAAATAGAGGTTTTACGGTATTTCAGCTTATATTTCCGTATTATCTATAACGCTTCGACCTTTACATGAGTAGCTAGAAATTTTTAATCGATAAAATGCAACTCGCTATACCGCTTTATAATGTTAGGTCGTAAATTTTCTAATAGAAATTTGTAATATTGTTGTAATATAATAGAATATTGTTAAATCATGCTGAGAATTAACGTGCAATTTTATGGGCCATGCGAATTGCAAAGAATTATTCATTAAATAAATTACATATGTAATAATAACCATAATCATGTACGAAATGATGTTTTTGCAAGAATTTATTTACCGAAACACAAATTTTGACAAATTTTAATTAGGGCTCTCGCCATGGGAAGTTGATCACTTGGTAGTTTCGTACAGGAGCGGTCGAAAAATAGGTTTTAAAATTTGAAATTGTTGTGGAATACCCCAAATATATCTAGCCACATGCCACAAAAGTTTCATAAGTTTTCATTGGAAAATAAATTTCGTACACGATTTCAAAGCGAGGAAGTCGGGAAACGAGTTTTTCGTAAGTACGAAAATCTGAGCGACAAAGACTCGATAAAGGCTTGGCTACATTTCAACAGGGAAGGGTGTGGCCATGCAAAAATTAGGATATACATAAAAAAGTATGGAGAATCCGAAAATTTAAACTTCAAATAACCACCATTTGAAAAAACCATCATATCGAGCTCTTAAAAGTTAAAAACGATTGAATCGTTTTTTGAAAATTCTCCATCCACGTCGGTGCCTGATGCGGCCATGAAGTCAAAGATTAATACAAACCACTTGTATCATATTAAGGGGGTCGAAGTGTATGCAAATAAATCTCCAACAAAACATATGGGAACTGTAGAAAAAATGGTAATCGGGCTGCCTTCCAAGCTTTACATCAAAATCTCACCAAAAAAGGTGGTCACTGACGACGAGTCCTACGTTCTTAAAAACGTGACAGAAACTCCGGGAAGGCAATTTTTCATGGGAAATATATCTCTCAACTGAAAACCGGAGAGAAATTAAAATGTTTTTCGAAATTCCTCAAATAATCTCATGTTTGGCTGGCGTTCCGTCAATTTGGGCATGTTTCGGACCCCTGGATTCCGATGGGCTGTGAGGAAGCACAGGTTTGATTTCGGAAATGTGTGATAGACCGTTTGATTCCTCTCATCAATGGGTATTATAAAATGTTCAATGCAATTTTTGGACCGCCCTTGGACCAATCCACAATCCAACAACTATCAAGGAAGAACTCGAAAAAAAATTCAGTTTGACGTCGAAAATTGGAAACCTCACATACATCCCTCATCTTCGCTCAATAAAAAAATGTAGGCCATGTGTTAGAAGTAATACTCCCAGCTTTGGGAAACAGTCGTTGATTCAAGAAAATTTTGGTTCCGGTAGCAGAAAATTAACAATGAAGTTGCAAAGTCTTCCGAAAAATTAATAATGACGGACATGATGAAAAATGTTAAATATGAGATGGATAATATACTTAAGTCTTATTTGTTCGCGGATCTGGGTAGTCAGATGTATTTATAATATTCCACACAAATTTGAGATTTCTGGAATCCTTTTTTGACTATTTGTATCCCAAATTGCTAGTGATCAACTTCCCATGGCGAGAGCCCTAGGCAAGAATATTGTTTGTAAGCAAAGAATTTATACGCGTTCCCATATTCGGACGGCTTTATTTTTCGGACGAGTTTCAGCTCCAGAATTTTGAAAGCGCATTCCATCCACATTATATTGGGCATGACGTGGGTCTTCACCCGTCATAACATAACCGGACCAACCAGCTGCTGGAAGAGAAATTTGTTGAGGGGCTTTACCGGACTGCCAAGCAAAGTTAACCCCAATCAGCCGGTTACAACTTTCTTCCTGCAATGTTCCAAATCCAGCCGCCGTGCCACCTTCGGCGCGAAAGAACAATCCTGCATATGTCGGCGAAACATTGCGCCACTGCACGTTCGGCCACAATGTCTGCGGTGCTGGGTGTGATGGTAGCTGCACGTAGATGAATCCAATCGGAACTAAAATCAAATCCTAATTGAGTTTCACGACATGCTCTCAGCCAAGCGAGACATTTATTAACCATGAATTATACTGGGTAGCTGCATTTTAAGGTCCGATCCTGCCGGATTATATGGCATAGATCAGATCCGCAAATCTGATCTCTCGTGGTCGGATTTTCTTAACCCAGTGTTTACGACATGTAACCCGTACCACTGGTGCTGATCACACTAGTGATATGGGTCTCAATCCTACCAATTCGGACAGGCAGACTTGGTCCGTCTGCCTGTCCGTCTGTCAGCAGGATAACGGGAGAACGGATCGAGATAATGGAAATCGGTTTGCGGCATCATACCCCAGGGGAGAATCCTCTCAACTCTTGGGGTCAATCGGACCACCCTATCCGCGCCAGGAGATGTGGTCGATGAAAAATGAGTTTTGTTAGTGGAATTTAATCTATCGAGTGAAATTTTGTGTTGCTGCGCTCTGGTGGGGGAAATGATACAAAGTAAAATCGATGGCTGTGGTAAAATGAGATGTAGAAAAATCGATGACTGGGGTGAATTGAGATAAAGAGAAATCGAGTGTTGATTGGACTCATAAAGTCTCCTCTAACAAGTCACTGAAGCTACTTCTTTATATGCGTTTCGTGCTGTTTATTATGACCTTGTCCATAAACTCACCTGGATTGTTGCCTAGTTGGGTGACCCTATTCGTCAGTTGGGTCGATGACCCAGTTAACTGTGTCAAGTTAATCGTCAATTCCGTGACTGTATTGGTTGTTCGAGTCAAATTTGTGGTTAGTTCAGCGACGATTTTCTTTTGTTCTATCACGACCTCTCGTAGTTTAAATAGAATATCCTGCAGCTCTGGCACCGTCAAATCTGGCTTCTTTTCACAAACGACCAAATTCCTCTTTGAACACCGGCAGTCCTTCCATTTCCCATCCTCACTGGCCTCCATCCTGCCTGACCGTCCGGCCAGCGGTGACATTTCCATGCAGACGTTCTCCACAGTTTTATTGGTTGGCGAGCCGACATCCCAATTGGTGAAGGGAATCATCTCGTCCCCATTTCCCCATAAGAACTCAGTCTCGTTAAAACGCTCCCCATTTAACCAGACTCTGTTGTAAACTTCTAAATCTTTGAAGAGCCAAGTGTTCAGAAAATCCTGTTCTGGTTTCGACTTAATGGATACGAGATGCGGTATGTTAAATTGGTCTGTTGCGAAGGAGGCGCACGACTGCTCAGCCACCTTCTTGGTTTCAAAGTAGTCATGGAATCGGAGGCATTTCGAGTCTTCAAAGAGGATCCAATCGTCGCCACAAGTGATAGCGGCTAAATATTAACATATATCGATTAGTTAATTGAGCCAAACGTAGATAGCTAAATAATTACTATTATGAAAAAATATTATATGAAAAAATATATATATTTCATATACATAGTCCGACCATAAGTTCCCGTGAATGCATTTCCGGTGATAAAGTCCAAAGTATTAGAGCTATCTGATAGAAATTTTTGTGGATGAACAAGGTATTAATCTTGTTTAGAAATCATAACTTCGTTTTCACAATTTCCTCCACGGGCTTGTACACAAGACATAAGTCGTGGCGAAAACTGCTCGATCGCGGCACGCACGGATTTCCTGGGAAAAGCGCCAGATCTTCAGTAAGTGCGACCTCAGCCCTTCCACACTTGGGTGAAATTTAGAGCATACTTGTACCTATAATTTTGACCACCAGTCATAATTTAGGGGATTAAGGTCTGCAGATACTGAGCACCGTTCTACGGATGAAAAAAAGTCATGAAAATTCGTCTGAAGCCAGTTTTGGACAATTTTGCACCTTGCGCATGAGCAGAGTCTTGTTGAAAGGTCCAATGGCGATTTTCGGAGGGTCCAGGGTTCAGGTTATTAGCGTTTGTCTCTAGGACACTCTGAAAATAATTCTTGGCTTCAACTTGTACCCTTTGCGGTAAAAAACAGAGATTTCATTTCTCCAGCCAACTTGCTCCCATGCACACCACGGTGATGACTTCGTATTGACTTCCGCATACTTAAACGGATGTCAGACTTCTGTACAACAAATATCTGGCCTTTTTTTCTATTAAATTTTTTGCCAACGGTGAAAAGTCTGAAATACTTTTGGCACGAAAATTGGCGCGTACCACGATCAACCTGTGGCCGTCACGAGTTATGTCTTGTCTAATTGCCCGTGGACGAAATCTTGACAAAGAAGTTATGATTTCTAAACAATATTAATACCTTGTTAATCCATAAAAATTTCGAACAGATAGCTCTAATACTTTGGGATTTATTACCGGAAATGCATTCACGAGAACTTATGACCCCACTATGTACTTCTTGACACGGACATTGTAGAACCCTAGTCTTCTGCATATTTCATACTGACCAAATTTCCGATTGATTGACACTAATTTGCTCATAATCAGAGAGAATACGCTGAAAGACCTCCATCCTAAGTATTGTTGTATACCACGACTGGTTGCAAATTTACGTACAAATATTTCACATACTTAATTAAACTTAAAATTTAAAACAAATTTTACTTAATTAATTAAGTAATTTACATATTTCACAAACGATACCTTGCTCTCTAGTAGATAGAAAAAATTTCCGACCAATCTCAACTTTACTTGGATTTGTACCTGAGTACTTTCCACTCTTGAAAGTTGTCCCGCCTATTAATTGTACACGGCTCTACTTTAACCTTAGTAGTGTCAGTCTTATTCGGCTCCAGACATCCGGCAGAACCCACATTCTTAATGAGTAACAAATTGTCGTAGTTGAGTTCTTGGATGTCCCACTGTTGCAACTCGTCGCCATCCTTGCAAGGTTCAAAAGTGGCCAACGAGTTGTCCAGATTGTCAGTCAGGCAGGCAAGTTTTCCTTCCACGGCTTTATTGAAGTAGTTCGTGAACGTTCCGTCGGAACGGTAAGTCCATGCAAAACCTGGTGCCTTATCGTATCTCCCCACATGAATTTCACGCGAGTCACCATCAGGGTTCGGAAAACCCCGGGGTTTTTGTAGAAAAACCCAACCCCGTGGGTTTTTCCGGGGTTTTTGTGGGTTTTTGTGGGTTTTTGTAGATTTTGGGGTAGGTTGAACCAAAATTCCTAAAATTATGTAATAGAGAAAAACTAATCTAAGATACAAATTTAGCATGCAATTTTAACCGTTATCATTGACTTCGACTGTTACATCGAAAATTCATGTTTAACATGTAAACCTGGAAATATCCAATGATATTTGGAAATTCAAGTCGCACAAGAAAATTCTCAAAATTTCTTGACGAATCAGAAAATTTAATTAGCATTGATCTAAGTTGTAGTTTAGGGGATTTTGTTTCAATCGACCTCAAAATCCTACAAAAACCCCCGAAAAACCCCATTAAGCATTAGGGTTTTTTCCGGAGAATTGATATCCCCAAAAACCCACAAAAACCCCAAAAAACCCCAACCCACAAAAACCCGAGGTGGCGAACCCTGGTCACCATTAGTCAGGTATTTTCTGGCACCGTCGGCCTTAATTCCAATCTTTGTGTAACGAGGAACCTCGGATTTAATGAGTGCGATGAGGCAGCACAATAAAAGTGGTGTGATACAATGCATTTTTTGACGAGTTTTGCTGAGAATTTTATAAAAGTTTCAAGAGGTTTAAATGATTTGCAAACGTGTAATGTACTTATTGAAGACGTCACACTCTTAAAAAGGTGTTGTCGCTTTGCGATTTGGGGGATCTGTCCAGGTAGATGGACTCTGAATTAAACTATGTATACTTACAAGGCGGTGTGGTTTCCCATCTGCAATGAAATGACAGTGTTTGAATGAAAGGTGAAAGTTTTTTGGAGACGAAGAAAGTCAATTAAATGTAATGGTTTCACAGGACAAAGGCACCGGAGAGCAGAGTTTACGCCACTCTGGATTTAGCAAAGCTGACTTAAACTTCGTTTCACGCTGGGTGATTTTACCGCCACATGATACATCACATGCTGCTTTTATGCCGCGGTAAAATCACCCAGCGTGAAACGGAATTTTACTTCAGGATTTAGAATGCATTTAAGTTTTTTTGAAAGGGAAACTTTATTTTTTAGAGTGAATAAAGACCTACAAAATTAAAACACCTAATTCACATAAATATGTATCAGGAAATCTATCCTCCAGGAATGCTTAGATTGGATTGAGTAGAGGTAACTTGTTGAAGCAGTTTTTATACCTGGAACCTATTTGTACGTCAATAGCAATTTATGAAAACCTCGTTACTGAAACAATACGACGTGCAAATTGAGGCCGGATTGAGTTTTGTTAGTGAATTGGATAAGAGATTGGGATCGAGGCATGCCTGTGCATTTTTAATCGATACGGGAAATCTTTTAAATCCGTAATATCTTAAAATACGCAATCCCTCTGTTCATTGTCACTTGTTGGGGTATTTCATTTATTCGGGTTGAGTTATAAATAAATATTTTTCGCATTTGAGCTAAAAAACTTATTGTGTGCGGGTATGTATATGTATGAAAGGAGAAGAACAATAGTTAAGTTATTTAACGATTGTTCTGCAACAAAATCAAGATTGGGAAAGCCGAACATTTTGCAAAACTTTTGCGTATTTTGCTAAAAGAAAAACTTTAAAATAAACCATCGGCAAAGAGTTCCAATATGCATTTATGTAGGGGAGATCCATAAATTATGTCATACAAAAATCACGCATTTCTAGACCCCCCTCCCCCTTTTAAGATCTGTCAAATATCATTGGATCTTTAGTCCTCCCCCCTCCCTTCCCCCTTTCGCGTGACGTAATTTATCAACGGTCCCTTAATAATGCCACGGAGTTCTTCTTATGCTACGAAGTTTTTGTTTGATCTGGTCAGATATGAAAAAGTTAGATATACTTACACATCCGCCGGCTGTTCATTAGTCCGTATTAATATAACTTTTCTTATCTGCCGAGTAATACATGGAGAGTAGGATTGTATAACTTGACGAAGCGCTAAAAAATTAAACTCTGTCATTGGTGTATGTATTGTGAAGCTCGAAGTTGCACTATGAATTCGTAAAGTCACTGACACCACCGTCGCCCGGTAATCAGCAACGATAAGCCGATAACCCCGACAATTAGATATTTACATTGCATATGGTTAATGACACATAGTCAAACAAATACTTATGTATTTATACAGACATATTAGTATTGGTCATGCAGTTCTTCCCGTATCAACAAATTCACGTTAAAATAATTTTATAATGCACATTTATAATGACATTATATCACAATCCAGCATCTTATTAGTATCTTAAGTAATCATTTCCAAGAAAATTCAAGCATATTTTGGCCAACTGACGGTTTGTACAAAGTGTGGAATGACGTCCACAACTGCGCAACTAAATAGAGCTGTCCCTCCTCTCTGAAATTCTGGAGGTTGTTATCCTCCTATTTCATGTCTACCTTATCTTATCAACATCCGAGCTCACATTGATAATTATGATTTACTGCGTAGTTTATAATAATCCTACGCATTTATTCATTCACCACCTGCTCTTTGCTGTTCATTACACGTAAAAAATTATTGAAATAATATCCATTATTACCAATTGGACGCTGGAAATGGACGATTACGATATTTCTGCCGGATCAGTTGCATCCTGGTTTAATACCTTTTCGTTGATATCTTTTCTGGGATCTGGGACGTTCGGTTACGTTTTCAAGGCGGTAATTTGAAGGTTTGGTCGCGATTAATCTTAACAATTGCTTATTTAATGTGAGTCTCAATAATGAAAACCGGAAACACTTCACACACCCACAATTTTTATTTGGATAAGATTCTCAACGTTTGTAGAGCTGATTTTCCTGAGTCCAACGGTCGAAGTCCGGCGTTTCTACTCCACCCCCTCGCGGAGTGAGAGGAGCTCAAAGTTGAAAAAATCGCTCTAGTCTGCGATTTTTAGCTCAAAGATGGGTCAATATTTTTGAATGCGGTTTCCACCATACGTTTCCTAATTTTTTTCCCTACAACACTTTTCGAGGATTTTTTCAAATTGTTAAAACGGATGTCACGGTTTTTGACTAAAGATAGGGAAAGTTCAAATCTCATATAACCCCATATGAATTCGGTTTCACACAATTCATATAACCCCATATGGTCACATGAGATGCCATTGGAAAGGTCTCCGCGAGAGTAATCAGGATATATGTACATACTTTGTTTGGTATATGAACACTCCCTGATGTTCCGGAGACAAAAACATAGTTTCTGCCTATTATATTGCCATGTTAGCTCCCAATCTTCTGCTGCGCTAAATTCTGGAGAATTTCAGATTCGTGTTCTCGCGCATATCTCAGACCTGGTGGACCGTAAACCATGAAATATCGCTATTATATGATGTTTAGCATTATTTAATATGGTTTCTGCACAAGTTCTCCTCATTTCAAAAAAGTGGAAAATCCTGTAAGAAGCTCTAAGTCCAAAATTGTGAAATACGTTTTAAGAATTTGAAAAAATGCTCGAAAATGGTTGTAGGGAAAAAACTTTAGAAACGTTTGGCGAAAACCGCATTCAAAAATATTGACCCACCTTTGAGCTAAAAATCGCAGAGTAGAGGGTTTTTTCAACTGTAAGCTCCTCCCACTCCGCGAGGGGGTGGAGTAGAAACGCCGGACTTCGACCGTTGGACTCAGAAAAATCAGCTCTACAAACGCTGAGAATCTTATCCAAATCAAAATTATAGGTGTGTGAAGTGATTCCGGTTTTCATTATTGACACTCTGTCAAAATCTGCGCTTCAGTTTAAATGATACCACATTTGTTTGACTTTTCTATATATTTGTCACAAAATTATTAAGTCTATTAATCTTAGTTGTGCTTCATAATTTCAAGGACAATTGAATAATTGATCAGTTGCAAACTAGTATCCTTCAATGAATTTTAGTAATAACTACACCGACATTTCATTGCATTAGGTCAGTGGACAAGTAGACCTTTCCGCCGTAAAAATAATATTCATCGGTGGCCTTGGAGACACGCCAAAAGACGAAGCTGAGAAATATCGACTTTTCCGAGAATACAAACTAATGAAGGGCAAGAAACACGATAATATAGTCGAAATCTTGAAAGCAACTCACAAACCTTTCACTATGGTGGATATCCACGTCTTGCTGAAAATTCCGTGCCTTCAAAACAATTACAAAATCTTGGACCAGTTTCAACTCATCTATCTTCGCGCACAACGAGGAACCAAAATTCCATCGTTGTGCATCGAAATGGAGCTGTGTGGTAAGACGTTGCGTCAATGGTTGAACATTAATAAACCGTAGTAACGTTAGAAGTAGCTCACCCTGTGACAATGATTGAGATATAACTTTGCACCGCTTGTGCAAAGATTAGCAGCATTAGCGAACAAAGTGACCCATAATTTAGAAAACTTTATGTCAAAATTATATGATCATTTCTCCCGTATATTCTGCACTATTGGTGTGTTTTGCATCCCTTCCCCCAATTATTTCGCATCATTTTGGGTTCCCGATTGTTCGATACCAACGGTGCTATTAATTAATAAACCGTTACAACGCATGTAACCAAGGGGTGAAAGGAGTGTCATACGTCAATGTGAATATCAAATTGTTCGAAATTTTTTTAAGATTGACACTTCTGACGTGTTTTCGACTTTTGTGTCTTATTTGTGTCAAATTTAACAGTTGATAACCCTTATGTGACCTTTATATGACCTCTGAGGTCAAAATGGAGGTCACCATTGAATTCGGGGTTAAATTTCAGTTGAAATTGAAATAGATATGTCCTATGACCTTTACATGACCTCTGAGGTCAAAATGGAGGTCACCATTGAATTTGACATTGAAAAATAGTTAAAAATGACGTGTCACATGTCAAAACTGACAAGTGACACTTTTTCGTCACTTTTCGTCACCGTGACGATGTCATCGTCACAGGTGACGTCCAAACACAAAATGACCTGAATTTTCGAATTCCTCGTTGAAAATTAGTTAAAAATGATGTGTCACATGCCAAAACTGACACGTGACACTTTTTCGTCACTTTTCGTCACTGTGACGACGTCATCGTCACAGGTGACGATGTCACAGTGTCCATCTTCGAAATCGTCCTGTCCATTGACGTTAGGAGTTTACGTTCAAAATTTCAAGTGTCTATGTCTTTTCGTTCAAAAGTTATCGGAGCTACGGACAGACAGACGGACGGACGAACGGACGGACAGACGGACGGACATAACGATCTTTTAAAGGGCTTTCACCCCTTAATAAAAAATGTAGCTGGTCCATTTTAATTAATTTCATCAGTTATTTTGCAGTTTTGGTGCGATTTGCATCGAATTTCCCAATTGCTTCGCATGATTTTACATAACGGATTGTTCGATACTAATGGTGCGCCCAACTTATCCAATAATGGTCAAGGGGCTGTTTAATTAGCATCAATTGATGCAAAAAATTCGCTAACAACCAGACGGACGGACAAGAGGAATTCAATAGCTCTCATGCTACGCAGGGTGAGCTAATAAATCGTAGTAACGTTAGAAGTAGCTCACCCTGTCATAATAATTTAGAGAGAACTTTGCACTGAAGGTGCGGAATAAGCCAACAAAATAGGTCACAACTCTTATATATTCATTATTTACATGCCGTTTATGGTGCAAAAGAAACGGCAGGCCATTGCACCATTAGTGCAGCAGTAGCGACCATCCTGGATACATAAGTTTGAAAACTTTGTCAAAATTGTATGATCATTTCTCCCGGATATTCTGCACTATTGGTGCGTTTTGCATCCCATCCCCCAATTGTTTCGCATCATTTTGTGTTACCGATTGTTAGATATCAACTGTGCTATTTATTTACTAAAAAATTCGATTCGGTTTGTTCAATACCAATGGTGCGCCTAACATAATCAATAATTGTGAAGGGGATTTTTAATTAGCATCAATTCATGCAAAAAACTCGTTAACAGACAGACGGACAGACAGACGGACGGACATGAGGAATTCAATAGCTCTCGTGCTACGCAGGGCGAGCTAATAATGAGACAGACAATCCAGCACTGCATCGGATTCGAAATCGGATTGTTAAGGATATGTATGAAGGATTAAAATACCTCCACCGTCATCACATCATGCATCGAGACTTTCGCCCGGAAAATATTATGTTTTCATTATCCCGCACGGAAGAAGAAGAGTTCGCATTTCCCGTAAAAGTTGGAGATTTTGGTCTATGTCGACAAATCCATAGCGCGGCAACTGCGACTAAAACACTAACTCCCGAAGTAGGAAATGCCATATATCGTGCACCTGAAGCTAACTCGCTGAACTACGGCTTCCCCGCAGATTGGTTCTCCTTTGGTTTGGTGTCTTGGGAGGTTCTACAGCAAATTATGCAGAAAGATACAAGATCAATGTTCTACTATCTGGTGCATGATCTAAGAACTAGTCTTGTTAAGCGTGCAGCTTGGTGGTTTCGAGATTTGGAAAATGTCATTGTTTCCCTGACAAAAAGCCGCCCGCAGGACAGAATTGACCCGTTTAAGTCTGAAGTAATCTTTGAATCAGTAGAACAACTTCATACGTTCGTAAGCAAACAATTTTTGAAAAGTGGTACCTTGGATTTACAATGAGGTTATTCATTTATTTCATTCTATGTTCTCTTTCCAGTCGCGGTCCAACTCGTCGCGGGAATATTACGGTAAAGACATTATATCAATTGAATTGCAGAAATTTTCTTACATCAAATTGGAAAGTATGACGATTTGAAATAGTTTCGAATTTTCTATACCAATCAGTAAAACTATGTTAAACTTATGTTATATTCCAGTTTCTGAAATGGCTTCTAGTGGAGAGCCAGTCTCTATCTTAACGATGACTTATGACAAGATCACAATTAACATAAACGTAATGAAATCCATTTTTGACAAAATTGGAGGCCATAATTTAATGTATCAATACAATTTAATACAATTTAATACTTGTAATTTAATACAAGGGGAATTACCGTCCAAAAATGTAACAAGTTTCCCAAGTGGAAAGCAACATCTGAAACCACTCAACCTCTACTCTGCTCTCGCGCTTCCTCTGTGTGCATCTACGTGCACAAGTGGAAGAATTGGTGATATGACAATGAAGGAGGAGTTAATTTGTAAACATTTTGTATCATAAAAGTATTGCACATTGCCAAAGTCAATTCAGTAATAAATCGACCTTCGGACAAGTAACAACCTTCTTCATCCTCCAGCCAGCTCTTATTGCCAGGCCATACCCGCCGCCATCATAGTCATCCTATCATCGTCATCACACTATCATCATCCGCATGAAGGGTCATAAGGCGAACGAGAACTGGCTCACCGGGTAGTAGAGGGACATTGGGATTGAACCAACCAATGAAGGGGGAATAGATTTCACACCTTAATGCTCTTAATTTCCCTCCTGTTGAATGGAAGTCGCCTCTAATTTTGCATAATTCTGTTTAAATTTCGTGTCAAGGATGGGTCTGATTACCAGAGACCATTTGAATCTGTTCCTAAAAACCCGAAATCTTTCGGGTAAAATTTTTTTTTACTCATTCTAAATTGCTCCAAAATTAATCCTTCTGACTTACAAAATGTCAAAAATGAAATTGGCAAATGGTGACATATTCCTGCAATATGGGGAGCGCAGCAAATTTGGAAAGTGAAAAATGTGCCACCTTAAGGGGAACGTGTTCTCCTCTTTTTACTTATTCAGTCGCAAACCCCCAGACGAGCTGAGAAAATTGTATCACAAGGCATGTTAAAACCGAAAAGCCTTCGAGTTCAACTCCCAGTGGGGTGTGGATCGTGAATTTGAAGTATATCGTTTGAATCCTCTCTCGTTGACGAGGGAAATCACATGACATTGTTTTGTCAAAATCAAAAACTCCCTGATGATTGCACCCATTGGGGGTGTGGTTTCCAAATTTTGCTTATCCAATTAAGATCCCCTCATCTGGCTAAGAAAAATGATTTATTGCATGATAGAATCGATAAGTATTTGATGACCACACCCACTGGGGGTGTGGTTTCCAGATTGCAAGGTGTAAGTCGTGATCTCCCCATCGAGCTGAGAAAACCTATATATCACATGACGTGGTTTTGTTAAAATCGAAAAGTAGCTTATGCCCACACCCACTGGGGGTGTGGTCTCCAATTTTTAAGTATTCTGCCGTTATCTCCTCGTCGAGCTGAGAAAAATGATATATCAAATGACGTGGTTTCGTTAAAATGGAGAATTCGCTGATGACCACACCCACTGGGGGTGTGGTTTCCAAATTTCAAATATTTAATCTTGATCTCCCCATCGAGCTGAGAAGAATGATATGTCGCATGACGTGGATTCGTTAAAATGGAGAAGTCGCTGATGACCACACCCACTTGGGGTGTGGTTTCCAAATTTCAAATATTTAATCTTGATCTCCCCATTGAGCTGAGAAGAATGATATGTCGCATGCCGTATATGAGTTGGGTATTCGCAGAAGCGCCGATGGCCACACCCCTTTGTCGTCATGAGGTCTACGATAACGTCAGGTCATTCAGATGGGGTGCACGATGAAGTTTATGAATAAAGGTGACGTTGAATTTCAGAAACTACGGTGGTAAGAATTTTTTCTATTGTATTTCTTGGGAATTGACCTTTGACCACACCCACCATTGACCCCTAATGAAGGGGTGCGGCCAGATAACCGCTGGATACGATGACCTGACTATCCGCCAAGAATCTGTACCCAGGTCTTTCGAATTCCCTTGCAGAATTTTGAAATTCAATACGGCAATGTCTTTTGATTTTTTTGACCTTGTGACCTCGATAACTGGTGGGTGGGGCCAAATTTCAAAAATTTGAAAATATATATTTCGCCCAAGGGTCCAAGGTTTCCAGAACGTGCGCCATTTTGAAAATCCATCAAGAAATGACCGTGCAATTAATTTTGAAACTTTACATGTTGTTAGTTATGGCAAGGTCGGCCATTTAGCCTCCCGAGAATTCCGATGGTCCATTTATTCTGGATGAACGATAGTGGATAAGTAAAAGGAAAGATTTACAAATAGGTAAACCCAGTTTGAGGTTTGGTGCTCAATGCATAAATTTTCGTTGCATATTCCCTTCTTAAATTAGTAACAATGTAGATATTTATTTCAGTGGAATCGCTTAATTATTATGGGGAACGAAATATGTATCTTATGTATTGTGAGCAAAAGGTATCTAGGGTAAAAGACACACTCAAAACATTAAAAAGTTTGTAAAATTTCAATTTAGAAAATAAATACTCGCCTCCGCAGCTTCTTGGTATTTTAGGGCAAGTATATGTTAGGGAAAAGCGATATTATTTTCACCACGGAAATTGATAACGCATGTATGCAACAATTTTTTTTACATAATTCGAAATTGTATCGTTGTGTCATGTTATTTATGTATCTGCATGAATTTGGCAACAAGACAGAATATTTCGGTAAATTTGTTAATTACAATTGCTCCTTACGTTTTATATAGTCGATCACCGTGTCCACGTACTCGTCACATAGACCCGCTTCAAAGTCGTTGGATCCCGCAAGGTGAAATTTTTTGGCAAAGTAGCGACTAATTGTAAGCGACTGGTTTAATTTTTTTCCCTCAAACTCCATCAGTGGAATTGTCCCCCATGTCGTTTCTGTAAGGTGGAAAATTAACTTAAGCAATCTGGCAAGTTTTATCATGTGGTACTAAACCTCGGTAATAAAGCTTTACAGTAGCGGTAACGAATTTTTAAAAAATTAAAAAATATTAATGCAAATCAAATTTATTAGCGAGAGGTAATTAGATACATACGTGAATTTAACAGATTGCATATTAAAAGTATTAATTTACACTCTCAATTTAAGACATACATGTTCCCATTCATTCATTTAATGATGATTGAATAAATTATTCATTCAATATTCAAAAATTGAATAAAGATTTTATTCTGATTTACGAATAAATGAATGTTAAATGAATACCCATTCCAATCGTGTGAATGAATATTTTTTCATCATTCTTTTTTTTACTCAATGCTTAATACATAGGGAATTTTGAATAAAATTAATAATGTAGGAATGGTCAATAATGAATAAATGTGGAATAATTTACGAATATTTTTTTATCAAATATGAACGAATGAATTAGGAATGAATATTTTTTAAAGGCTTTGAATGAACGAACTTTGAATAAATAAATATTTTTTGAACATTCATGATTTAAGAGTGTATACATATATGTATGTACATACAATATACCGTGACCATATCCTTCCACGGTAACAAAAACGTTACCGGTATTATTGTTTCCAAAGTAAAATAATACTGATTGTTCCTTACTTTCCTTAATTTCCTTGGGCAACTTGGGTGGGAGTGGGAACATGGGGGCACGAATGTCCTCAAATTGGACGCCACCGTACGACAGAATCATCCTAATCGGCTCTGCAGCACCCCGAATGTCGTAATAATACAGTTTGTAAGCCATTTTAGAAAATGTCAGCCAGTGAACCAAAGGTGGACGAGGAATAAATACTGAATGAAATGCTAGACAGCTGCTTATTTATCTACCAATTCTCCTGGCTACCACGTATTAGTGAACCGTGTTATGAAAATGACCAAGCAATGCATGACATGCAAAAATCAGTCAACTTTTTATGTAGATAAAACATGACTGTGCAAAAAAATGGGCACACATGGCATAGCCCTCATCACAGAGGAGATTGGGTCGTGTGCATATTTACACTGCGACCCATAAAACAAGGACACCCATCATTTTGTTCAATTTCTCAAACGACCTCCAAAATATTTATATGCTTCTTTCGCCATTAAGTACTACGGTGGGAAGTAGTCTTGTCGCAACTTTTCGGCTTGGTTCATTATCATACAACTTGGGAATCTACAAAAACATAAAATTCAGGTGACCCATAAAACAAGGACATATCCTAAAAACCAGGATGTTTGTTATTCCACTGGGCGAAATCAATCGACTTTGGGCCAGAAATTATATAATCAGTATATTTGTGATATTTTGGCCTCTGGTCGGTGTAAGTTAAACTTTTTCTTAGACAGGTACGCCATGGCGAGGGGTAAATTCCAGGCAATGTGGCAAAGGGGCAAGGTATGAAGCTTTACTTGAAGATCGGAAGAGTATACCGATATTTCAAAGCACGTAATTGTCAGGCGACATTGCATAGTAATGATCAAGGCCAATGGGACCACTTCCGGTGGAACAAACAAGCAAGAAGGCATGCCTCAGATGATACAGAGAGAAAAATCCATCATTCTGCGTCGTTGAGGCAACTTCTTTGTGACTGCAAACCAGAATAAAATGGTTTTGAAGATTCCCTCAGCGAAATCAACGACAGACAAAGTCCGGCGTGCTTTCCCGATCATCTGCAGAAGGAAAGTAAGGAAGAATCGTATGCTTTCCCGGAAGCACAAATACTCCTGATCGCAGTGGGCAAAAGATCGAATGACTTGGACCCCTAACTCCAGCAACACCATATTTAGGAACAAAACAAATTCACACTGGATTGTCCTGATAGGAATACGCATCATTTTCATAACTTTAGGAAACAAAACTTAACTTTACCACGGACAGAGCGAGTGAGGTGGTGTCATGATATGGGGTTTATGGAATGGGGTCCAATATCGTTTTGTTACGACTACTTTGAACTCACAGGGTTCTCAGATCATTTCAGAAGAACAATTACTTCCTCTGAAACAGACATTCGGACGTAAAGATCGCAGTCTTAACAAGATAATACCCAATATTATGCTCCTCGGCGATCAATGAAGTGGTCCCAAGACAATGATATCGACATTCTGCCTTGGCCAATGGGGTGTTTGGATCTAAATCCGATTGAAACTATTTAGGGATATTAGTCGCGTCTAGTTTATGCTAATACTCGGCAGTGTTCCATAGATTCAGAACAAAAACAAGGAATCAGTGATGCACAAGATTTAATGTCAATCTGTGATGTCAATAAGCCCGTGGGGTCAATAAATCGTCGATTTCTTTCTGATATCAATAATGTAGGTAGTTATACTGAGCATTATTGTGTAAGAGAATAGATAAAATACAAAATAACTGGCTAAAATGGAAATAATTCGAAACCTGTCCTTGTTTTACGAGCCACCTGATTTTGACATATTATTAGACAACTTCTCATCCACTGCATCAATTTTAACGAAACTTTGCAACGATACTACCAGGCACCGTAGTACGTAATGGTGAAAGAAACACATAAATATTTTGAAGGGCCTTTGAGAAATTGGAAAAAATCCTAGGTGTCCTTGTTTTGTGGGTCGCAGTGTACTTTGTCGAAATCCCCGTCGTTAAGTTAACAGAAATGATGTATTACATGACATGACATGGTTTAGTTAAAATAGAAAAGTCGCTGAACGTTGGCTTTAGGTATTCCGTCGAAACCCCCTTGTCGAGCTGAGAAAAACGATATACTATTTGGCATGGTTTTATTAAAATCGAACATTTTCTGGGAACCACACCCACTGGGGGTGCGGTTTCCCAATTTTAAGCATTCCGTCGAAACCTCCTTGTCGAGATGAGAAAAATGATATATCACATGACATGGTTTCGTTAAAATCGACGATTTGCTTGGAGCCACACCCACTGGGGGTGTGGTATCAAAATTTCAATGATTATATCGAAACCCTCTTGTCGAGCTGAGAAAAATGATATATCACATGACATGGTTTCGCTAAAATTGGAAAGTCGCCGAGGGCCACACCCACTGGGGGTGTGTCATGTGAGTATTAAAAATTTCCGCATATAATATATGCCTTAGGTTATTGTTGCACACCAAAATCTAATTTTTGTTTCCTCAAATACGGCTCCTATATATTTTTGGCCAAAATTTATTAAATCTGGCCCACTGTGCGCCGCTGAGAGCCAATTCATCATCGCGAAAAATTTGGCCTCTACGTTCTATTCGTCGGAAATGCGAAAATTTCTCGAGGATAATCCTACCGGTTTGGACGACTCCACACTTGCCATGCGACACACAGACCTGGTCAGAGAATCCTTCACGATTTATAAGAGCAAATCAAAATTGTGTGGGGCGAGGATGGATGCCAAATTTAGAGAAGAATTTACTTCAGAGTCGGATCGCCTTTTTGACATGTGTCAGTCCGTTAATCACACAACTGCAAGGCAGCCGAGGTGAGTAAGCACTTAGCGAAGCTGGGGGACGAATGTTATCTAATGTTAGCTAATTACAATATGCATAGTTGGCTCACTTCCCGATTGTACCTTATGTAATTGTTAGGCTGTCATTTAATTTGTTGATTTTAGTAGTAGGCAAAGGTTAGAGCAAGTTTATTGAATTTGTTGAAATGAAATCTAGAACCCAGGCATTCTGTCCAAATTATGAAAAGATGGTTACATACTATAGAAAATGCAGTGTGTAAACTGGGTTCCAGTTACACGTAGTAGAAGCAACTGGACCGAAAGATTCAGATGGAGGTATGAATATGAATATTGAGCTGATACGGGAAATCCGTAAAATACTTAGATGTGCAAGGCAATTGTTCATTGTCTGGTGTGAGTTTATTTATTTTAACTGGGTTGAGTTGTAAATATGTAAGTATTTCCCTAATTTGGCCAGATATACTTATTTTTGTGCGAGTAAATATGTATCTGATGTCGAAGGCGATGCTACCATTATCGGCGGCGGCTTGAATTTTATTCAGGGTCGGCGCTGCAGCGCGCCGCGGCTGCAAACCCTGAAAGTAGGGCAGACTGACAGGTTTTTTTATTCCTTCTGCCAAAATTATACCCAGAATTATCCAACGTCCTGAGACGGGGTTTTCAACAGGTTGGCCATGTCCTGGAGGTAAATATACATTTAAGTATATTATTAGGTAAGTATGTATAGCTCAGTCAGATAATGATGATTGGCAATGCCAATCGATCAAATTGAATTGATCGACCAAATTGATCGTTGACAAATGATTTGTAAACGATCAATATTATTTAATTCTATTATAATGGAGATTGGATGAAGTTAATTACAAAAAGCGTCCGGCTACCCACCAGAAATTTTCCAGGTTTTCTTTCCAATACGGTTTTCAAACAATTTTAGACGAAGTCATAAATCCTTTGTATTAATTTTTTAAGTAAAATTTTTCAAAAATGACAACAATTTGAAGTACTTGCTAAAGACTATTTTATTGGACTCACATAAAGGGTGTAATATATATTCATTTTCATTAATTAACCTTAATTGCATAATTGATTATTTATATACATATTTCACAATTGATGTCGTTCATTACTTACTCCTCCTCGTCCACACAACAATTTTGGCTGCACTGGTCGAAATCGGAATACGGACGAAGACAAACTCCCGCTGGGAGTTCCACCGCATTAGCGCAGTCCAACCCGGTCGGAAGGGCGCCATTAATATTTCTGTTACCCCGCAAATCAGCGTCTGCAAGGGCCCACGCAATTCCCAGCATGGCACGATAGTTCGGCCCCATAGCAAATTGTGCAATGGTGGCTTGTGATCCACACACCCGCACATCAGTTGTAGCGTCATTGCGTGCATAATAACCATAAACTTCGGCTTGTCCAGTGGTAGGGTTCCAGGTGCATACAAGCTTCCAGAAATATAATGGGATACGATGACCGGAAACCGTGTCGAGAGTTGCCTCCGATACGCCCGTCATTATGAAGCCATTACGTTGCTTGGCAAGGGCGGCAAGCTCTACTTCCACTGTGTGAGACCACCATCCCTGCGTTTGAAAATGTGGGAAATTACGACACTAAATTCAGGGTCTGATTCAGACCATCTGAAATCTTTGAATCTCACAATGCGATCGTGTCAATATGCGAAATGTAATATGCGAAAACGTTATTTGTCAACTGGGAGCTAATCAATTTGTTAAAACTCACATATTTACCGATTTCTGTGAATAATTTTAATGTCACTTACGCGGTTAAGATTTATATTTTGTGGGGCTTGATTGAGACTGCAACAAAGAATCGTGACACAGGTTTGGACATATATCATGGATTTATTTACTCGAATATAACGGAGAATTGAACTACTTAACGTGTACTAGGGCTGTCAAATCCGGATACTTTGATATCGGAAAATCCGGATTATTCAGATTTCGAATTATCCGAAATCCGGATTTTGCTTTGGAATCAATCCGGATTTCCTTAATTTAAAAACTAATTTTCATGTGCACTGCAAAGATACAAATTGTTGGGAAAAGTGTAAAGTAAAAAAAGTTTATTCATGTTATTCATCCCGGGTAGTTACTTTACCATATTGGACATCAAACTCATATTTTTTTTAAACTCCACATTTTTTTAGTACATCAACTTAAAAATATACCAAGAAACTATGCACATGGTCAAGAAATGTTAAACCATGATGAAGATTAAAAAAAGAGCTTAAATTTCGATTGCATATAATCAATAAGTATTCGACATCTATCAAACTCGTTCAAATATCAAGGAAATTGATAATAACAATAAATAATACAAATCCGGATTTGGGCTCAACCGAAACCGGATAATCCGAAATCCGGATTTGAAAATTCTGACCGGATTTGGCAGCCATAACGTGGACGTAACAATGATTGGTATAATCTAATAGGACACAATCAAACCATTAAACTTACCAGTAAAAAGTGGCCAAACGGACAGACGGAGTCCATTGCCAGTAGCAAGAAGGAATCAAGTGCCCTCGCTCATAACCTGTAGGATAAGGGGCCCCAAGACTACAATCGACTTCTGTAAAATTTAAATAATTAACTTGAAATTTCTTAATCCTGCCACTGGGCTCTCACGATGCCCTCAGATCAGCCCTCGCAATGTGAGATGATTATCCCCAAATTCAACCTGACGAATTTAAATTGTTTACGCTGAGAAATAAGCTCAATTATATTTCTGTGTTTTTTATTTAAATTGCGCGTGCTTTCGGCTGGCAGAGTTTTTAAATATCTACATATCTATTTAAATTTCCATTAAATCCGTTAAGTTTTCAACATGCCGTCACGTCTCGAATTTTGACCCGATTTCAAAAATTAAACATAACACTGAATCAGAATTGTTTACTTCTAAAATTACAAAAACTAATGTACACAAATTATGTACATTAGTTTTTGCGTTTTTTAAACACATTATGTAACATAATTTGTTTTTCACTCGAAATTTTCATGCTACATACATACTTATGAATATTTAGTAATTTAAAAAAATTCATTTAAAATCCGCTACATTTTTTAAAAACGACTTTAAAATTTTAGGGAAGTAAGATTTTGCAAAATGGTACATAATTTTTAAAATGATATACAAATTCGAAAACTGACATTTAAAAAATCCAAACTTTGGCTCCATATAATTCCGCCATACGCAAAAGCATCTGTATTTATTTTAAAAAAAGAACCGCAAAAATATGAATGGACTAATTTCTGAGCTTCATCACCCTGCAATTAGCCCGGTCAAAATTGGAAATAATCGCCTCACACCTCTCCATCATCAACTCAAATGCATCTCACCATCGTCAAAACGTCTCCAATTGTGTGACGGAGGACGCGTTCCTTGATTAGTGTTATCCATGCTGTACAAGGCGGTGGCTGAAACCGTGGTTTCAAGTGCGGTATCATATAAAATACTAATCATATTGAACCCTTGGTCAACCCCAATTGTCGCAGGAATTTGAATTTGATACACAATGAATCGGTTTTGAAACAACTGACCGTCACCCCGGCTTTTTAGGGTTTCTGAAGCAGAACAAATTTTAAGTCAGTTTCCAATTCAACTACACGAAAAGACAAGGTTTACCGTTGAAGTAATTTTTATCGCCCTCAATCGTTGCGGCGTAAGTGATTGGAGCGAGAAATATGGTCATCATTGTAAAAGCCAAAACCCTCATTTTGACAAGACTAGAGTTGTTCACAGTAGTTGTGTTTTAATTGTGTCTGAGCTGCGGTATGGATGACACACATACTTTTATCGAGTTGTTATCTTGTCCCTCTACATATGCGAGATTCGGAGAACGTGATAAGGCCAATTATCTCAAAACAAATTGGTCATGAGACCTGTACCGTAGTAATTAATTACAAACGTATGTATACATACATATGTGTGCGTCGCAGAAAAGTACGGCGACGGTTAAATTTTCCCTAATTTTGTATACATAGTGGGGTCATAAGTTCTCGTGAATGCATTTCCGGTGATAAATCGCAAAGTACTAAAGCTATTTGATAGCAATTTTTATGGATCAACAAGGTATTAATATTGTTTAGAAATCATAACTTCTTTTTCAAAATTTCTTCCACGGGCTTGTACGCAAGATATAACTCGTGACGGAAACAACTCGACCACGGCACGCACGGTTTTCATTGGAAAAGAGATCAGATCGTCAGTTAGTATGACCTCAGGCGTTCCACACTTGTGTGAGATTTAGAACGTACTTGTACCTATAATTTGGACCGCAAGTCATAATTTAGGGGATTAAGGTCTGCAAATGCTGATGACCTTTCTTGAGATGAAAAAAGTCAGGAAAATTCTTCCAAAGCGATTTTTGGACAATTTTGAACCATACGCAGGAGCAGTGTCTCATCGAAAGGTCCTATGCTGGTTTTCGAAGATTTTATGGTTCTTGGGTTCCACTATTGGCTCCAGGGCACTCCGAAAAAATTTCTTGGACTGGAACAGTTACTCTTTGCGGTAAAAACACAGATTTGCTTTCTCCAGCCAACTTTCTCTCATTCACACCATGCTGATGACTTCTTAGTGATTTGTGCATACTTAAATGGATGGCAGACTTCTGTAGAGCAAATATCTGGCCATTTTTTCTATTAAACTTTTCGCCAACGGTGGAAAATCTGAAATATTTTACTCACAAAAATTGGCGCGTATCTCGAAAGAGCAGTGGCCGTCACGAGTTATATCTTGCGTACAAGCCCGTGGACGAAATTTTGAAAAAGAAGTTATGATTTCTAAACAATATTAATACCTTGTTCATCCATAAAAATTGCTATCAGATAGCTTTAGTACTTTGCGATTTATCACCGGAAATGCATTCACGAGAACTTATGACCCCACTATGTATGTCCAACCGAATATCAAACCTTTGCATCCAAAGCAACCAAGTTTTAGATTTTGAGATTTTCAACCAAGTTTCTAAATTTTGTTCAAACCTTCAAATAATTTGCACAATATCCAATTATTTGTAAATTGCAAAAAAATTCATTCATTAATTTCATAAAATCTGCACAATTTCAAAAAATCGTCATAATTCATTTAATAATTAAAAAACATTACTAAATCTCCAAAAATTTGCACAATTTAAAAAATTCGTCCAAGAGGACCCTATTTTTTACAGTTTCAAAAATGTGTACTAAGTACATAATTGAAGACAACTGCATGATTCAAAAATGTTAAAAATTAAAAAAATGTATCGCAATAACATATAAGAAAACTGAAAAATTTGACGGAATTTTTTCAACTTATTTGAAAATTTTAAAAACTTAAAATAATAAAAAATGAACAGAAATTTTGGAAAAGGTTGTTGTCCACAAATCTATCACGCTATGACTTTTCACTCCATCAAGGGTGTGATATGAGTTTAAATAGAGCTAATAATTGTTCCTATCCTATAAAATTACACGGGTTTCACTAACGAGGGAACCTTTTATAGTGCCCGGAGCTCCCAGCATATCCACTATATACATTAGACACAGTTTTTAATATTAGTCCGATGATGTGACAAAATCTCCGTGTCAAAATGACATTTGGTCAAGTGGTGACGATTTTAGTGACGCGCCGAACGGCCATTTTCGCCATGTTTTTAGGACCGCAGGAACCCTTTCACTTCTTCATTACACGCTCCCCGTTCATCTCACTGAAATCTCAACTCATTTGTTCATCGATGAGACTGGCATCTAATTATTACAATATCATTACAATTTATTCACTACATATTTACAAGTTTTCAATATTGTTTTTTTTGTTTCAAATATTTGAGTTTTAAAAAATGTGGAAAAAATACAGCAACTTATTATGAATTTAAAGCAGAGGGATTTGTTCTTCAAAAAGTGCGCGTGAACATTTTATAAGTTTTAAATTCAAAAATAATATTGATAAGCAATAAATAGTAAATTGAAATGATATTGTAAATGTAGTTAGATTAAGTACTAGTGTGCTCAACGAGTAAATGAGTTGGGAATTCAGTAGCAAGATGAGGAGCGTGTGGCTGCACAATAGCTGCGCTATTGAAATCATGGGAGAAAGTGACCGTTCGGAGCGTCACTAAAATCGTCACCGCTTGACCAAATGTCATTTTGACACGGAAATTTTGTCACATCATCGGACTAATATTAAAAACTGCGTATAATGTATATAGTGGATATGCTGGGAGCTCCGGGCACTATAAAAGGTTCCCTGGTAAGTTATCGCGAACTATTTCGTTTCAACCTCAATTTGTACTACATCTTCTATGACACAGGCTTCATGAATTATCGGCCAAATAAAGGTAATTTGTGCAAAATCCTGGTGACACAGTACATAAGACTCCTTTCTGACTAGGAACACTAGGGAGGTGTGACCCCGACCTAGCAATGCCACTATATGCATTCGACGCATTTTTCAATTATAGTCCGACGGTGTAACAAAATTTCCGTGTAAAAATGACATTTGGTCACGCTGTGACCATTTTGGTGACGCGCGGAGGGCAGCCCTTTTCCTGCTGGTGGGGCCGTGGGGTGTGGTTGACGATGCGCTCCCTTATTCCAAATCATGGTCTAATCTCACGCCTTCAGGTACAAACTCAATCAAAATATATTGGACTTTTTTCAATTCTCACCTTCACTGTCAGATTTCCAAAATTTGCAGTTTCTGAAAAAAACTAAAATTAAAAAACAAATAGAAATTTTTGCGAAAAATTCGAGATTTGAGAAACTTTTCAGAAAAAATCGAGATTTCTGAAATTTTTGAAAAAAAAATTGAAATTTTTTTAAAAAATTTGCAATTTTTGAAAAAAATTTGAAATTTTTGAGAAAAATTTGAAACTTTTGGGAAAAATTCGAAATTTTTGAAATTTGTGAGAAAAATTCGAAATTTCTAAAATTATTAAGAAACATTTATTTCAAATGTCATGAAAAATGTGGAATTTGTTTTTAAATTTTAAAAATCTGACAGTGAAGGTGAGAATTGAAAAAAGTCCAATATATTTTGATTGAGTTTGTACCTGAAGGCGTGAGATTAGACCATGATTTGGAATAAGGGAGCGCATCGTCAACCACACCCCACGGCCCCACCAGCAGGAAAAGGGCTGCCCTCCGCGCGTCACCAAAATGGTCACAGCGTGACCAAATGTCATTTTTACACGGAAATTTTGTTACATCGTCGGACTATAATTGAAAAATGCGTCGAATGCATATAGTGGCATTGCTAGGTCGGGGTCATACCTCCCTAGTGTTCTTAGTGAGTTTTGATATTACGCCCTATTTACTATGTACTCGCACCTCATTTATAGAACATATGTATCTTATTTTGCTATAGGAAAAATTCAGATTTTCAGTAGTGACGTGACAAGAGGGGGGGAGGGGTCACGACGAGCGTGACAAAGGCGTGACAACAGGGGTGGGGGGGTCATAAACAAGGGCTTTTTTGCGTGACATAATTTATGGATCACCCCTTGGGCTATCGTTTTAAACGTTTTAACGAGAAAATTCAGAATATAAAGAATACTTATTCTTCTGTCCCTGTGGCGGGACCTTGGCGCTGTAAATGTTACCCAAATATCTTAATGTTTCAAAGTAAAAAATAATACCGGTATTTGTCAAGTCCTGTAATTCATCTTCTATATTATAAGCTGGAAATGTCTGTTGGCAGCGGAAGCGAAAGTTATTTTCCGCAACGGAAGTGAAAATTTGTTTGGATAATTTTTTAATTTTCCGAGTGTTATAAATTCATTTCACTTCCATCGACGCCAGACACTTTAAGAATAAAAAAAATATTGTGTGGTTAAACACTCGCCCGGAGGGAGACGGGCTTATACGCTAGTATTTTAATATTTAATCATATGTACTTTATTTAATTTAATAGGGCAATAATTTTATTAGGTGGATTTCTCTCAAACTAAGGTAAGATGACAAAGAATGAATTATCTGGGAGCAAATGTGTATAAATGCGGGCTCATTTCCGCTATTTTGGAGGCAAAATGCAAGAGGTTCGATTAGTGTCGTTAATTTCATCGTGTTATCAGTAACTAATTACGTGCCCACATATATAGCTAAACAAGTACAAGACATTTACGGGTTTCCCCACATAGTTGCGCTCCCATTGTGCAAGATGATTGATACATATACGCAGTGAAACGATTACGTGAAATTAGCAACATACATACCTAGTTATATATGTATACCAATCAATCATTTATTTAAATTGTAAAAACAATAATCTCAATTGCTTGTCAGAGTACTTAATAAAATTCATTGAAATTCAAGCAACTTAATTACATCTGTCAATCACATTTTGTCACCATCAATTAATGATTAAACATACATACATATTATTGGTTTCGTAAAAATCGGAGCGAGACCGCTTGCGTCATCGCATTGTAAGTATATGGTAAAATCTATTTTATTTGACTTACATATTGAAGATCAATTTCGGTTTATCTTTTCCCGGCCCCGGGCAAACGTAATCAACAAAACCAGCAATATATCCTTACTTTTTGCTAATCTCAATTAAAAATTATATATTTTTTTCTATTTCTTGCTTCAGTCATGTCATCCGAGAGTACGAGAATACTTCCGGAAAATAAGTAAGATGACCAGTGAAATTAAACTCATAGATTACGAATTACAGTGAAATTAAATATTCCCGCTCTGCTTGGTTCAAGCTAATTCTTTATATGCATTTACGACGATTTATTTATTTATACTCATCCTTCATAAAATTGTCGATGTCTTATTTTTATGTAACTAATAATGGAGGTCTCCCAACGTATGCTCACAGATTTGGAACAAATTAGCGTCAATCGATCGCTAATATTATTAGCATGAAATTTGCAAATAGAACTAATTATGTGCCAATTCGCAGGTTTGGAGGAGCTATTTGCATCCAAAGCGGGGGAAATGCGCAGGAGATTTGGAAAATAAAAAATTTGTCAGCCTAGGGGGTGCGTTTTCTCCTCTTTTTATGCAAATATCTCTGCAAAACCTGAGCATTGGCAGATAGTTCCATTTGCAAATTTCATACTAATAATATTCGTGATCGATTGACGCTAATTTGGTCCAAATATATGACCATACGTTGGGGGACTTCCATCTCATCAATTATGCCTCGTCATCCAAGCAGCAATCCTCGCCGCACTGATCGACCTCCGAATACGGAACTAGACACCGTCCGGCAGGGAGTTCCAGGGCATCCGCGCACTCCACACCGGTCGGAAGTACGCCATTAATATTCCGGTTATCCCTCAAATCCGCGTCTGCAAACTCCCACGCGTTTCTCAACACTCTGAAATAGTTTTCCCCCATCGCCTCGCGTGCAATGGTGTTTTGTGAGGCACACACCCTCTCACCCGCAGCAGCATTGCTGCCATAATAACCATAAACTTCGGCTTGTCCAGTGGTAGGGTTCCAGGTGCATACAAGCTTCCAGAAATATAATGGGATACGATGACCGGAAACCGTGTCGAGAGTTGCCTCCGATACGCCCGTCATTATGAAGCCATTACGTTGCTTGGCAAGGGCGGCAAGCTCTACTTCCACTGTGTGAGACCACCATCCCTGCGTTTGAAAATGTGGGAAATTACGACACTAAATTCAGGGTCTGATTCAGACCATCTGAAATTTTTGAATCTCACAATGCGATCGTGTCAAGTGTAACCCTCCGATTTGGTTGAAATTTTGAAATTATGTGGTCCATGTCAATATAGCCAATGTTTCTGCAGGCAGTTTGTGCGATGGTGGGAAGTTGTCAAAATATGCGATTTTTAGCACGGGAAGGGAATTGACGCTGAGTTTACTTCCTCCGTCTGGTAAAAATCGCCCGTTTTACGACTTTGCCCTAAAATATTTTGACAAATTTTGACCATCGCACAAACTGTGTGAAGAAACTTTGGTTGTATTGACTTCGACCACGTAATTTCGAAATTTCAACCAAATCGGAGGGTTACACTTGACACAATCGCATTGTGAGACATGATCTCTGGATATAAAATCGTGACAGTGACCAAACTCAAAAACATTAACTATAGAAAAGCATACGTTCCATATGCTTCAATATATATTTCAATTCTTTGAATTTCACCACAGTCACGATTTTAGCCCTCAAACTTGTCCTTAGCGAAAAATTCCTGTAGCGTCAAAAAAATCGTACTTTAGGTTTTCACTTAAAGAGTATACTTTACGCTGAATTTAGCTAAATAGTTAGTGACTAAGGATAGAATTCAGAGTGCATATGCTTCTAAAACCATGCCAATATTTTTAGGAGTACTTAAATATGTTATTTGTTCTAATATCAATTATTACACGGTTGAAAGTTGGATTTTGCGGGGCTTGGTTGGCACTGAAATGAAAATCACGTACTAAATTACGTATTGTGCTTAATCAATGTGCAGTATTTAGTTTACCAGAAAAAAGTTCCCAAACGGACGGTCTCTGTCCATCGCCAGTAACAAGAAGGGATCAAATGCCCCCGATCATAACCTGTAGGATAAGGCGCTGACGGATATTTACAGTCGACTTCTGTAAAGTTAAATTAGTCAATTTAATTTAGTCAAATACTTGAACTCCTTCTTAACCCGAGCTTCTCTTATGCTAATTGTGAACCAGGCCTCATTAGTACTACTCAACTTCGCCTTAACTCAAATTCGGCTCAACTCATATGATAGCGACTCAAACTCAAATTATTTCATGTAAGAAAACTCACCTTTTTTAGAGTAACGTGTTTACGAACATATGTATTTAAATAAATACGCTCAAAAGATATGCTACTGTAAATTTTATTACAGAGCATGGACATCCTTACTGAGAAGACTTCAACAATTTTTCTTACCTACTTATGATTTTTTTTGGATAATTAACTTGCTCGATGTGAAGCCCCTTGTTCTGGGCTACAAGTCTGCAGCGCTTTTTCCTTGATGAAAACACTTCCAGACACTTTTGAACGCTTATTTTTAACCACTCGTCCTTTAGACTTTTCCGAAGTCCATTTCAAGTCGTAGGTAATTTTTACATTTTCTCCACGACGCACAGCAAATTGACCTTGTCCCGTTACAGTCATCTACCCTGAACTAAGCTTCGTCGAATGTGATCACGTATTGGTCCCTATCTCCAGCAAGGTGATTCTGGTACAGCTTTTTAGCGTAAAAACTTGCGAAAAGCGATATGATTCTCGTTCAACGCATGCAGTTTTGTTTTCTTCCGTTTGATTTTATCCAAATCTCTTTTAATGACTATTCGAATAATTGTGGGGGTCGATTTTAGAGGTTTCGCCATACTGCTAATGCTCTTTGGGATTTCCTGCATAATCAAACGGTTGAGCTCCGTTTTTAGCTTATTCGACCCTTCTGCAAAGGGGAGGTTTTTATGGGGAGGAGGCAGTCCCTGATTAATTGTTGTGTTCTAACAACTTCTATATTTAATATTGTATAAATTAAGACCAAAGAAATTTCATGTCAACTTGCATTACGCCTTTTCTGTCACATTTCCGGTGAAAATCCGTCTGGAAAACTTTTTCCTAGTACCTCCACTGGAAATGGTCAGGGAAGAACCATTTTTAAGAATTTTTAGTAGAAAAAAATCAGAGACTTATTTTATTGGTTTGCCTATCAAACAGTGTGGACAATGTTTGCGTAAGTTGTGCCAGTTTTTTCGCGCGAGCGTTTGAAAATTTCACAGTAAGGATGGCCCATGCTCTGTACACATCGGGGATCCTATATTTATCAGTTTATTTTCATAAAGGTGAAAAGCTCGAGATGGTCAAACCATCAATAAAAAGCCCAACTTTGAAAAATTTAATAAGCTTGTCCCTAATTATGACATTCCTTTAATGTCCGTTTTTAGATGCTTCAAGTTATGCATAACCGAAAAATAATTTACCCGGGTCACTAATTATACCAGGTTTGAAATTGTAGTTGGATTAGTGTCGCCCTTAGGCCCGGCTATAAATAGAGTCTTTACGGTATACTCAATTCAAACTAACAATGGAGGTCTCCCAACGTATGCTCACACATTAGAACGAAATTAGCCTCGATCACAAATATAATTAGCATGAATCTTTGGAAATGGAACTATCTCCCAATGCGCTGGTTTGGCAGAGATATTTGCATCCAAAGCGGGGGAAATGCGCAGGAGATTTGGAAAATAAAAAATTTGTCAGCCTAGGGGGTGCATTTTCTCCTCTTTTTATGCAAATATCTCCGCTAAACTTGAGCATTTGCAAGTAGTTCGATTTGCAAATTTCATTATAATTATATTTGTGATCGAGTCACGCTAGTTTGGTCCAAATCTGTGAGGAGACGTTGGGAGACCTCCATTATCATGAGTCAAATGAGTTAACCCTAACTTATTGCCCGTCTTAAGTCCTCAGTTCAAAAGCAACCAACCATTGAAATATAGTCTCCAAGAAGATGTCGGTGGACGCGTTCTTCCCGCAGCGTTTTCACTGTTGTACAGGCCTGTCGATGAAACCGTCGTTCTAAGTTCGGTATCATATACAATACTCATCATGCTGAAATCCCATCCATTCGTATTTATCGCGGGAATTGGATAGATAAGGTATCGGCCTTGCAACAAGTGACCGTCACTCTGACCTTGTAGGGTTTCTGAGGCGGAAGAAATTTTAAATTAATTATGAACTCAAAGAACAAACAAGGGGAAAAGACTTACCGTTCCAGTAATGTTTTCCGTCCTCAATCATTGCTGCGTGTGTGACTTGAGCGAGGAATAAGGTCATTAGTGCAAAACTTACCGCCAACATTTTTGCGAGCGTCGTAAAATTGCGGATTTGTAGGGACGAGTTGTATTTTAATATGACTGCGATGCGGTATGGATGTCACGTATGTTTATACCGAGTTCTTATCTTGTCCATCAACTCTCAACCGATATGGGATTCGGAGAACGTGATAAAACCACTTTAAACCAAATTTGTCATGGATCAGAGCTGTGGTAATTAATTGGTTTTGTAATTACTAAAGGCGTCCAGACATGCTTTTGACGAATTCTCAGTTGAATTCCTCTGGCGGGGAGTCGAATTTTGAACTGATTTTTGGTAGGCTGCAAGATGATATCCTCAAAAAGCTATGTTTAAAATTTTAGGGCGATAGCTTCACAAAGTCCCCCTCCAGCGCCCCCAGAGTTAGAAAGTGCCAAAAACACACTTTCCAAACGTAATTACTCATGTAGCTTGATAACCTCTGAGGTCAGAGGTGAATAATTGCTAATATTACAACAATCCACAAATCCACAAACCACAAAAATCTTCCACACCACGGTCCACTTTGTGGATACCCACTGTGGGTTGAACAGCTATGCCCGCGTGGCCTTGTTCCAAGCGTCAAAATTGCCGACCTCAATAGGTGGGTATCGCTTTACAAATTCTGATGAGAAAATTAAGAATATCCGACCCCCTGCAAAAGTAGAGGTAGATGACTAACAGTAAGAGTCTTTAACTCTTTACCAAGGGTCTTTAACTTCATCCAGAGGCTATCCATAACTAAACACGGAGACCGCCTCAATTCATCTAGCGTTGCGTAATTTATGGACGTCCCCCCATAATTAGTAACGAACCACGTACTCAAGTAATTAAATAGTTCTGCAAGGTACAACACGGTTTTACCCACGTTTTTACACTCCCATTGTGCAAAATGATTAATCGGCACATTAAAAAGATTACGCACGTGTATATAATTGATGCCGAAGTTATTTAGTGATAACAGTGAAAAATTTATTTAACCTGTACAAATATATAATGATTATATTGCTTGTCAGTGTAATAATATTCATTGAAATTCAGACAAATTTATTAGGTTTGTCAATCACATTCTGCCATGATCAAGTAATGATTAAATATAAACTAAATTGCTAAGTATGTTTCCAGCGTCCCCAAGGGTTATAACTACGCACATAAAAAACTAATGCGCGTGGTTGCATATGTTCATGCTTGCCTTCAATCGGAATGATTTACGGCTCAAGTGGATTTTGTCATATTTACTATTTACAAACTGGAGAAACACACGCGAATTTATTGGACATATGTACGTACACGAATGTATACACACCTGGTCAAAAATTTAGTTTTCATTCAAAAGTCAGTCATCATTCGATCAAAATCAAAATCAAAAAATCAAAATCATCATCATCATTCGATCAAAAGTCAGTAGATTTCTGACCGAATGTTTTTTATTGACAATCCCTCATTTTCTTTCAAATTCATTTGATTTCCCTTCGGCAGACTTCATTTCGTTCTTCGCCCCATGTAAAGGGTGGAAGTAGTGAAATATCGATCTATCCGCATTCGCTCATGTGAAATGACCGAATTCTTCAGTCATTTTAAGTCAAATGACAGGGAATTCATTTTCATTCACTGTCATAATCACTCAAATGAATGATGGTAAGCATGTAAAAACCTATGTATATTGCAACCTCTATAAACATATATTGCACAAATATTGCACAAAGGTTTTGAGCTTAGTTTTGTAAGTAGATTTCAGAAATAAGGATTCCCCGGCGCAAATCGTCATGTGGTGAGATACAAAATTTTGAATTTTTATAGAAATTGATTCCCATTGTGTATTTGGGATCCGCTTGTTTGTTCCATATATGTACATATCCCTAGCCCTGTATTCTGTGTGATACACGTGTAATAAGATAATTTTCATTTCAATTTGAAATTCTCAATCTTCCATGAACTCTTAAAATATTCAAATTGATAGCTACCGAATCGTATTACGTACTCTCCATTCTCGCAGAACTGAACTTTTACAGAATTTGAGAATGATGAGAAACTACGCTACTGCCAGTCTCAAATTGCCTCAAGTTATTCGGAAGGCAGACTTGAGACTGGCGGTGGCAGTGGCAGGATGGCCACGAGCTTTTATTTTTTTAATTTTGAAGATTATTATGGCGTAATAATAAATCAATGACGTAGAGTTGAAAAAAATGACCTTCAACCAGTTTTGGGGCCAGAAAACCGAAGATCTCGACACCCTGATTTTTTAAGCGATCCGGGGTAATATTTTAAAAACGGTTGCAAATCACTGAATACAACCAATTAGGGAAATGAAGCTACTAACATTAGGTCAACAAAATATCCACTCCTAGTCCATCATCTCATGTGGGAAGGTTAGGTTAGGTTAGGTTCGGGAGGCTAAAGGACAAAACCTGGATTGAAATTTTGCAAATGATTAGAAATTCAAAATTTTCGATGCAAAAAGAACATTACAAAAATGCCAACATTTTTAGAAATAATGTTACCCTTATGAAAAGTTAATGCACTCTAAAAAACATTTAAATAAATGGTACAATACCTGTTCATTTTACTTCATTTGACTTATTATGATACTAAATTATGCTGACTGAAAATGAAATTCCAGTAGTTTGAATATTTAAAAATGCCTGAATAATTCCGTCATTTCAGAGGAATGACTGTGAATGAAATAATTTTTCAACCTACACTTAATTCACGGGACGAATTACATAAGAAATGGAGTCGTATCAACTGAAATAAAATAAATTTGAATGAAAATGTTCAGTCAGAAATCGGGATCACGACTTTTCAATGAAAACTAATTTTTTTGAACAGATATAAATCACACTAAATCCAGAGTAGCGTGAACTTATTAAAGAGTAAAGTTTTCCCTGGATTTAGTACAGTTAACTTAATTTAGAGCGTGCAGTTACGTTTCAAAAGGGTGCCAATATTTTTAAGGATGCACTCACCTCCGTGTTGGCCACAGGCACACGTTGTCCAACTGGTTCCTCCCAAACGCCAAGTATCAACTTTTCTATTGAATTCGGACATCTGGCTATCATTTCGGATAGGGGGAACTTGTCCAGTGATTTACCACTTGTTTGCCCGCAGATGCTCTTGTACTTCAAGATCTTTAACTTTGTACAGGGTGCGAAATCTGGATAAAAGTTGGCCGTTATGGCGACCTCTTCCAAGTTGGGGGCAGAGTTTAGAATCCCCTGGAAAATTGTGACCTCCCCCGATGAGTTTTCTTTACTAGGAAGTGAGTCCCTTCCCTGGAAGGTGAACGACCTAAAATATTCCTTACAATAGAGGTCTCCAAACGTATATTCACAGATTTGGACCAAACTAGTGTCAATCGATTACAAATATAATTGGTATGAAATTTGCGAAAGGGACCACCTGCCAACGCGCAGGTTTGGCGGAGATATTTGCATTTGAAATAGGGGAAACCGTATATGTATTTGGGACACAGAAAATGAACAAATATTTAGTTTCAAAATTTTGAATGACTGAATAATGAATGAATCCTTTTTTACAATTGAAAAAAGTTTGAATGTAGAAATTGTTTCAGAGCAGGTATAATGTCTCAAACAATTATCTATTACGCATTTAATTCATAGCGACCTTAAATATGGGAGGGGTAGAAATTGTGGCGCCCCCAGAGCGTCGTTATCCCCCCATTTCTCAACCAGGATGGATAATCTATTTCGGAAGTTGTACCCCGTCCAAGATTCGTTCAATCTGGGTCCGTAAACATTATCCGTGTAGAGTTCAAGTCGGGTCAAAATTTTGGAAACCTCCGGCATGACGATGACACCGTAACAAGCGGGGTTTTTGGATTGGAATCTACAATTTCTGACGCAACTGCAGCAGGCAGATGTCAGATTCAGATAAATGTTCCTGGCCAGGTTGGGATTAAAGGAGGGCATCCCCCCCACGTCGGAAAATATGAGGCGTCCCCTCCGCCCGAGAACGGTGGCGCCCACATCCGGCCAAACTGTGCACACGGATCGGACCGAGTTCTTCAGGGTGAGGAAATCCAACTGAGAGAAAATGCTTGCCAGGATCTAAAACAGTGTCAAGAGATACACTCTTAGAAATTTGGTTACGATTATAACCAAAATATAAACGTATATCTATGACTCCACTGCCGTGGTTATAAATTTGTCATCGCGTGGTTACGAGTTGTCACCGACTAATTATAAAATTTCACCGAGTTGGTATTAAATTTTCACCAGAGCTAGATAATAAATTTATAACTAGTTGGTGATAAACTCATAATCACGGCTGTAGAGTCAAATACGTTTACTGCATTTTGGTTATAATCGTAACCCCATTTCTAAGAGTGTATGCCTTTAACCACAAGACGAACATATTTATATGTTTCTACCACCAGGGTTATAAATTTGTCATCAACTGGTCGTAAACCTACATATTACCACTAGTGACTAAATTAATACCTGTGATAAAAAAATTGAACCCAAGTCTGTGTAAACCATGGCCGTAGTCTACTTAATTGATTAAATCGTAACCGCATTTTTTAAGAGTGTATTTAAACTTGATCTGACAAAGTGTTGGGTTATAAAATAATTTACAATTTACAACAGTTAAATAATAACAACCAGATTTTTGAATTACCACAGGATTCATAATTGCTTCATCTATCGGAGAAATTTCTGACAGCTCCAGGTTACCCATATCAACCACCATCTCGGAAATGATGGCATCCATCTTACATCCGTAAATATGCATAACTTCCACTAATTAAACCGTTGGGTGATGTGAACTATTACAGAAGGGTTGGGCACTTACGTGGATACAAATTCGATCTTGAATAACCCCGGAACGGTTTGTCGTAGCGGGTCAAAATTTTGAACAGAGGAGCATGTTATACTCAAATAGTTGTGTGCAAAAAACCAACTCTCTACTTTCAAAAATGTCTCCCCCACAGTCCCCAGAAGCTGAGACACCCATGAAACCTCTTTCCAAACTTAAATACTCGTACAACAGAATTGCTAAACACTCTAAAAGTGAATGGAAAACAGTTCCGAAATCTACAATCAATAGGGTATTAAAAAATATAGGTGAAAAGCGATAAATTTTGAGTAAAGGGCAACCACCACCCCCTGAAAGAAGGCAAAAAAAGAGCTAATTTCGACCGTGCATAGGAAAATTGACCTATTGACCTTCGAAAACAATCCACTGACCCAAAAGGAAATTTCTCGTAAGGTCGGGGTGTCTAAGCGTTCAGTGAAAAGAGAAATTAACATTTTGAAGAAACGACTTCGTCGGAAAAGCCGTGTGCATCAGCTGACTGAAAAGTAGGAAAAAAATCGCGCCCGTGTTTACAAAAAAAATTATTCGAATTTTTTGTGAAGGAATATGAGTGAGTTATTGGTGACATTTGACGAGGCACTAATATCTCTACAAGTTACTAATGAGGTTCGAAGAGCTTACTACACGACAAATGTCGAAAACAATTCACTCAAGTTGGTGCTTCTTTGTAAGTAGAACTTTTTTAAACAGTTGGTAGTCGTGGGTGCAATGTCAGGTCGTGGTGTCCTCCCACTTATCAAAGTCCCCCAAAAAGTGAAGGAATCTTCGAAGTATTATGTGGACCGTATATTGAAACCACTTTTAGAATAACATTTTCCTAAATTGCACGGTAAAAAAATAATTAAGGTGAGTTTTCATCATGACGGTGCGTCTTCCCAGACGGCAAATTGAACCAAGATAATGCAAAGGACCTTGAAGCTAGATTGGGGATAAAAATCATTTCGAATAGTGAATTACCTGTACAATCCCCCGACATAAGTCAAATGGACTTATTTGGGGTCGGATACTTGAAAATAAAAATTTTTCTGCGGAGACCGAATTTTTTAGACGAAGTTTGGAAAGAGTAAAAATGAGTGTTTGAACTTCTGGGGCTGTGGGGGAGGCATTTTTGAAAGTAGAAAGTTGAATTTTTGCACACAACTATCTGAGGACAACATGCTCCTCTGTTCAAAATTTTGACCCGCTACGACAAACCGTTCCGGGGTTATTCAAGGTCAAATTCGTATCCACGTACGTGCCAAACCCTGTAAATATTCTGCAAACAAAATATGTTTATTTAAATTCCAGTAAAAATGCTTACAAATGAAGTAAGTCCAGAAAAATAAAGAAAAGTGTACACGAACTAATAATTTGAATCTACAGGATTACGCGATTTAAATAATTATATTACACAACTATGTAAATTATTAAATCACACGTGTGTTAAAGGTATGTATCCATTAAATGAGAGCAACATATGATTTCTGCCCTATCCTTGTAATAATGGATGCACAGGAATGTACATACATACATACATATTACAAATGCAGAGTTAAACGTTGACATCGGAATGGAGAACGTTTTTTGCATGAATTCACTTCTACATATCCATTGATACATACGTGTATCTACGTTGTGCAAAAATAATTGAACCCAAGCTACATAAGCAGATATACATAAAACCATGTGTCATGTTATGCATGTATTTGGATATGTAAACGACCATGACGAATTTAACGTCACAATTGCATCATAATAGATGATCAAATGTACTCGATCAATATTAATGACTTAATTTAATAATTCACTGTAAGAAATCTGGTTGTAGTCGTGAAGATATTGAATGCTTTATATGTATTAAAGCTGTTACCGCTTGGTATTAAAATTATACCGGTACATACGTATGTAAAAATTGCTAGATAGGGGAAAACTTTAGTACCGGGTTATTATACCTATTCATACAGTATGCAACATATATTGCTATTATAAAAAAATATTTATTTATATCGACATGATGCCGTGATTTTTAAACCGTCAAAAGTATCTGCCGACAATTCCCTCGTCGGCGATTTCTAAATCCGAAAAATTGCCGGAGTTACATACGTGTAGCTCTGATTTTAGTGGTCCAACAGGTACGCAATTAAATTATTTATAACGGCATCATCAAATATACATATATTGTATAGTTCTGGAGTAATGCAAACCGGGTCGAAGAATTTCACTGATTAGCTTTAGTACTTTATTGCTCCTTGGTCGGTGTCCCGTCAAAAACGCGAAGGTTGAATTACATCATCGCCAACTTTAAGTCTGCAATTGATCACCGTTGCATAAGGAGATTATACCTATACATATATTTATTCATATCTACATTCATAAGTGTATGAAATGGTTTCTACGGTTGTAACTCAATTTGAGTGTCAACTAAAATTTTATATGGTTGGGGAAAATAGCCTATTTACAACTGAGCCAGATTTTCTGCGAACGAATAGTTTGAAAAATTAGATAAATTTATCAAATCATTTCAATAGTACCATCTCGCAAGCATATATACATCTTCATATTCATTCATTTAATGATGAATGACTAAATTATTGATTAAGTATTCAAAATTTGAATGAGTAATTGCGTTCCAAAAAAATAATATAGACAAGCCAGAACTACCACCAACTGCGCAGTATACTTTAAAATTCAACTGTCCAACTATTTAGTGGACACCCTATATCTTGCCGATATATTTATATCAAAGTTAACATCCTCCAATATTCCAATTAGATAATGTTGTTCCATACCTTCATGTTTTCAACTTAACAGTATTCCTACACGCATACATGTAGTGGTGAATCATAACGTTGATATATACAGCATTGCCTTAAATTTACCAGCAATTTACCTTAAATGTCATCTTCACCTAATGTGAATATTTTATCTGCGCGTGGCCTTAATTTACTCTAAGACGAACAGATTTATCAACTGATAATACGCACTGGCCAGAATATACATATGGAAAGAATCACATTCATCAGAGGGCACAAGTAGAAGCTAATCAAGTGATGTGTATTCTTTAATGAAGAAATCACTCACGTCGTCAGTTTGTACATTCTAGTGCTCCCCATGAATCAGGCTTCGAATTAGAAAATGCCGGATTCTGTCCCAAACTTAAGATCGGCGAATCATCAAAAACAGTCAAGACGGACTCGTGAGGAATACTAAAGAGCGTCCACTAAGGATTGGGAATGCCCCTTTCAAGGCGTGGTAGGCGGGAACACAGCGAAATTAAATTTCGAAAAAATCATTTTTGAATAGACCAACTTATAAGCTTTCCATTGATATATGTCACCAATTATTGAGTCATGGCTAAGACTAGAAAAACTTGGGTTGAAAGGCAAGAGTTGAAAAAAAGTGATTGAGTTTCACAAAAATCGAACAAACTATAATTCTAAAATCACTTGGCAATTTTTCAAGCAAGAAGGTATTCATCATTCAAATGTCAACTCTTACATAAAAAAGTACGAGGAATCCAATTAACTAACATTCAAAGTCCCCACTGGTCGATTTGCAAAGCTAGCGACGACAAAAGTCAAAAATCGCATAAAAAAAATCTTCAAAAATTATCCATCAACGACAATGGCTGGAGCGGAAAGGAAGGTCAATATTTCAAAAAGCTATCTGAGCAATATCAAAGTCCATAAACTAGGGATTATAGCCAGGGCAAAAAAAACCAGCACCAAATTACAAACCAATACAAAAGGAAAGGATTAATGCGTGCTGCAAGAAATTGTTAAAGCAGATTCAGGGAAAAGTGGTCATCATGGACGATGAGCCCTACGTAACAGCTGACCCTTCAAATCTTCCAGGAAGGCATTTTTTCCATAGCTCCAACCCCTGTTAAGTAATATATGAAGATGAAGTCCAAAAGAAAGACTAATTCCCAAAAAATGAAGAATTTGGCAAGGCAAGTCTAGAATTGGTCATGTTTCCGATCCCATCATTTTGGAGGGCACTGAAAACCAGGAGGTTTATTTTAAATTCTGCATTGAAGGGGGATTGGAAGGGTTTATTATCAAAGATCATAAAAACATAAAGTTTTGTTTCGGCCTGACCGCACAAGGTCCCATGACGTCAAAAAGGTCACTTAATACCTACATCTGAAAAAATTGAATTTTTGCCAAAAAATGAAAACCCACCAAATTTTCCTCAACTACGTCCTATTGAGAAATTATAAGCACAATCTAAGTCCAAGTATTCCAAGCTATCAGAAAAACCTGATAATGTCAGGAAATTTAAAAACCACTGGAAGAAAATCAGCCTAGAAGTGGGGAAAGTTTCTGGAAAAAATATGATGCAAAATTTCAAGAAGAAAATAGAGTCTGTGGCAGGTGGCGAAATTTAATCACTAAAAATTTAATTGTATTACAGACAGAACCCTTTGAGAATAAGCATATGTAATTTTTTTGAAATCGCATTAACTGTGTGTAAAGTTATGAGCATTTTTCTTCTCCATTCCCAATCCTTAGTGGACGCTCTTTATTATGAACACGTTAGGCTTAAATATGTGACCGTTTTTCTGGTTCTAATAGCTTTTGGTGCGTTTGATGGGCTCAAATTGAACTCTCTGTTTAACTTTTTGTACACATCGTTCATAAAAAATATTATGCACAAATTCTCTGGGTCCACTCCTGCCCCGCTTTAACAGTATTTCCGATACCATTAGAGCCTGAGCCCCCCTCGCCCCTCTCGCGTTACATAATTTATAACTTACATATAAACGGCGCTTCACCAAATATTGCAACCTGGCTGCAAAATCGTGTACTGCCCAGTAGACAATTTCTCCTCCTTAGTATTTAGTGTGAATTTTGTTATCGATTTTAAATTCAAGCAGCGATTGTATTTGTGTAGAACCAGATCGTGAGATATTAAAACAACTTAATAAACCTAACTTCCAAATCACATAACCAACGCTTCAATCCACTTTGACTTCAGTGGAAGGCAAGCAGGGCCCTCAAACCATATGTACGATTCTTTATTGTCATGTATTCCACCCAGTTTTTGCCCTTGTTAATTCGACACTTCAAATTTGCCCGGCTAGGACGATTCCTTCCTTTCGAATGGGATGCAAACGAAGGAAAACTGAGGCTTTGCAAGTCCGAGAGAAGAGTCCGCCACTCGCAATTTCAATCGGTCGTGGCCCTGGCCTACTTTGTCGTCCTGCTGGGTCATTTCTTCCTGGGCAAACTCACCTTTCTAAAACGTCTACAAGCCACTCCATTCCTGATCTGTTACACAATCTTGCTCTCTGGCGGATGGAATGTGGGGCTAAACATTGCCCGATACAAACGATCAACTCGATCATAACGTTTGAAAACGAGTTTCTGAAAGGTTCGTTAAGCCAATTCAATTTTTATGATAATTTTTATAAAAATTTCAATTTTTATAAAAGGCGAAATATTTTTGAAAAACATAAAACATTGACTTTTTAGTACTGGTTGATATATCAAAAATTCCAAAATTTCAGACGCATAATTAGAAATTAGAGGACTTAAAAATTCATATTTTTACCATCCAGTTTCCCATAAGCTGCCAAACTAATGATCCCAGTGTTTAGAAACTTTAGGAAATGCATGCGTTTTTCATATGTATTTGATCTCATTCGTAGAAACACGTTTTGATTTTCGTCATATGCCGAATTCGGTCTAAATAAAGTTATCAAAATTTCTATTTTTAGACAACTCAAGTACCACCAAGTCCATCGAAGTCAAAATCATCTCCCTGTTTCTGTACGTCTCGTCCTTCACGGTGGTTGCCGTGCCTGTCGCGGTGTTTCTACTCCTCATCTTCGAACCATGCATGCCCCCTTTTCTCCTCTCAATGTCGGCCAACTGTAAGGAAATCTCTGGACTCAAAATATTCGTCATCTTGTTAGAAGCATGGATGGCTCTGCATATGTTTTGCTCCGGCACGACGTGGATTTTCTACATTCTTTCCGTCGGAATTGTCACGATGCTCAACTACTTCCAAATTTTGGAGAGGTTCGGTCCCTATTTAATGACCACTTCCATAAGAAATATACATACTCTAAATAACTAGGGGACAAATCGTGAATTCCGGACGTAGCTCTGTGTAATGATGAAGCCCAACTTTTGTTTTCCGATTAATCTCAAACCCATCTAGCAGCAAAAGGTGTCGGCGTTATTGAAAAATACGGATTTGTTAAGTTCACGACTTATTTTCCATAGGCAGCTACATAAATGGCTCCTAAATCAATCATTACCCCAAAATCGTAACTAACCCGGTATCGAACGATTTGTAGCGTCTATATATTTATTTAGCGAGTATGAAAATAGATACAATCGAATCACATGATCTACTTACCTCATTTGCATAAATTTCACTTACCCAATTGACGTAATGATACGTGCTTACCATAGGCCTTTCGCAAATGGAACACTATATGCAAATGCGGTTCCTTCAACCAATAACTCTAATATGCATATATGTATTTGTTTGCTAAATGCATTGCCCTGACTGCAGGCGGATTGGAAAATCTCAAGCCATCTCTGAACATCTAGCCCGCGTAAAACTCTATCGGTGCATTCAAATCTTGGAAAAGTTCTTGAACGGATTCCTCACCGTGCGAATAGTGCCAACCATGATTTGCTGCACCCCCATGCTGCAAATCATCTGTCAATACGTCTGCGTCAAGCTGCATGCTGACATCCCAATGCCAGGATTTCTCATATTTCCCCTCATCCTGCTCGACACCGGGATATTCAACGTCTTTGTATTCACCTTGGCGTCCTGGGTCAATTCCAAATCGACCAAAGCGCTTAAACTTCAGGTCCGAAATACAACACAATTCGGCAGGAAAGGGTCCCTCTTGGCAAGAGAGATAAAAGCCTGTGGCGTCCTAAAGATCAAATTCGGATCGAACTTTATCGATAATGGGACCCCACTGGTAATTCAGGACTTCTGCCTTAATCAGACTCTAAATCTGCTGCTTATCAGTTCTGGTAGCGTTGGAAGGAGAATGTAAATAGGTTTGTGCTACACCAGGGGAGGGGGGGCTTGCATGCACCAATTTTAGTAATCTGTAAAACATTTGTTTCGTTGTGTCACGCAACTTGCGTGTCAGAAATTTGAAACAAAAAGCTTTGGTTTTTTTCTCTTGAAACTAGTAAGGAAATTAATGCGAACCCTTTAGAACATTTTAAGCGTAGGATAAACACATATGTTCATAAATAGATATAGATTTATTTCGTTGAGACACCTCAACATACCTATAGGACTTAACATCTCAAAAATGATCTTGGTTTTAAGATGAGTTCAAGCAATTCACCTAATTCTTTACATTACATATTTCCATCATTTAAAAAGGGGCCTTTCATATAGCATGTGATGAATTTTCGGATAATTTTCACCCCTACCACCTGCTGTGGCTAATATTCCTCATGTCATAGTAATCATGGAGGATGTCTTGAATTTCACTATGGCATCAGACTTGGAATTTTTTCACAAGAATTCCAAATTTGCAATGCCTGGCTTAATTGCACTGGCTTAATTAATATGCAGCTCATTAAAAATTCACAAAATCTTGTTTCAAAAGGAGGACGCACCCTTCTTATGAGAAAATCCCCCTTGTGATATTTGCTCCAAATTTTGATATGTTGTACACCTCGAGGTGCTGATCAAAAAATGTATTGGTCCCTAAGCCCTAAGTGACCTGGTTCGACCGGAAATAGAGGTCAAAGGTCAGTGCACTTTTTCTCTCGAAACCCCACAAACCGTGTATTTTTTGAAAGCTGGGGACCTCACGAGTCATAATATACACCATAAAAGGGTCAAAGGTCAACCCTTGGCCTTTCAAGGTCAAGGCCAAGGGCCTTGAGGCAAATACCTGACAACGGAAAAAATTGGCTAAGTATGCATTTAACCCACCCAAAAAAAGTGACATAAGTCGATTTCTCGGCCATTTCTTAACGGATTTTGATGAAATTTTGCACAGATCATTGTCAGGTAATTTAGAAAAGATGTGCTAGTCGACTAGGCGAATTTTTGATTTTTACCCAAGTTACGTGCCAAAATGTGCAAAAATTTTCCCCTGAAAACATATTTATTTTAATGATTCATAAGTGATGTATCTCAGCATGCTCGCTTATTGCAAATATTTTAGTCATTCCGGACATTTTAAGCACAAAATGACCTAAATCGGTTGAGAAATAACGGCGTTATTCAAGTTTGAAAATCAAAATTTAATAAAAATATTCAGGGTGCCGATAATAACGGCGGTTGTGCAGTAAAAATAATGTCTTTGACAACCAATTACAAGTTTTAAATAAACAAGGCCCCAAAAAATGGGAAATCTTAGTGAGTCAGCGCAATCACAGTTAATAAATAAATTAGATTGAATAACTTTTGCATCACCGCTCTCGGGATAATTTTTACTGGGTCCACTGTAAATTTAGTTATGCATACGCATGAACTCTTGCATTCATTAAATTAATTGAGATTACCAGATGACGTTTTTACTATTGAACGAGAAGTTGGCTAAATTAATCGATGTGAAATATAATTGTGAGCTGCGAATTTTACATTTAGAAAGAGTTGAAAATCTACAATTTCGATATATAAATTTGGATATCCTATTAATTCTTATTCTGATGAAATCTCCAGACCCTTGGGGGGGCAATTATTCTAAATGATTAATTAATACTTCCAGGAAAAATGATACCGAGAGCGGTGATGAAAAAATTATTCAATCTAATTTTATTTATTAACTGTGATTGCGCTGACTCACTAAGATTTCCCATTTTTGGGGCCTTGTCCCTTGAAACTGCAGGACTTTGCCCAAAGATTTTTTTCGTTTCTGGTGTTTTTGATCGTACTAGGAGTAACGTCTTTGCGAAGCATAGTATCGACTTCAGCCGCTAGTATTGAGGCTGAAAATGATGATTTTAATTCCATCTTCCTCACAAAATATGCGACATATTTTTGCGATACGATTCTTTACAAGCCCTTCCTAGCTTGTTCGGAACGCAGGCAGTTTTGTTTAGGTTCCTAGGATTAATTGACGTGTTGTATTTGCAAATTTGTATTTTTCTCTTAAATGTCGTTGACGGAAACACCCATTTTGACCTCGATTTCAAGTTGGAAATAATATGATCACTTATTGCAGTTGGGATTTTTATGCGACCAAATGAGATCAATAGTTTTGAAAAAATTTAGTATAATAATGTTTGTAGGTCATATTTATAAAGTTATCTCGACGAGGAAATTAATTTATCCTGATATGTCTGAAAATAAATGCAACTGGACGTACAATTTTGACGCGTTAATTTTCACTTTTAATTTTCAAGATTTTTTTCTCACATCTCCCCAAATGGAAATATAATATCTGATTACTGATTTCGAAAGAGTATTAATGGGTGTACAATTTGATGTCAAGAACGGTGAGATTGGTAGAATAGTTCAGTCGCTATATCAATTTTAGTTCGGCATAAAAAAGTGGACGTTCAATTTTGTCCGACACTGTAGGTTCTAATCTTGAGCATCACAAGATCCACCAGAAGAACCCAAGTTTTTGTCGATTTTGAGTTAAAAGTTTTCAAAAATGTAGTAAAATGCGGGACGAATTTAAAAAAAAAACACCCTTTACATACGCATGACAGGAGCTAATTTAGAAGGAAATTGGCAAATTGTACTTTGCGATGAACGCATTCAAATCGGTTCGGGTCTCCTTGTCCATCTACATAAATTACGAAGATGTATTATTAGGTAATCAGCTATTCCAATCTTATCGAATTAGCGATTATACGCGCTTACCGGAATCCCGAGATGAATATTACTAATCGAACTGCACAAAACGAGTGCATCCCTCACACGGTCAGACATCTGGAGGATGAAACCTTGATAAGTCTCTCGAAAGACAAGTTTCGTATTTCGCAAACCTGTGTAACAAAAACATCATTAAATTACTTTCAGTCCAAAACAGAGAAAGACATGTTCTTAACTTTTTCTAAAAGGTTAAAATCTGATAATCTAGCAATCTTAGATTCTAGAATCTTAATTACTTTAACAACCAGTAGATGATTCGCAATTATTTTTTATATACATAAAACACTCGTCCGTCAGATCATCGCATTGAAGCAGAACTTGCTAAGTTGTCCGAAATAAGTCTCATATTTCGGAAAATTATTCCAGATCAAAATTTGTAAGTTGCTTTAACGTGTTTTTGAACAAATATGTAAATAGTGTAGCTTATTTTTTGCGAAAAAATGTACCTCGCCACTCCGCCAGTCCTTCCAACACGGCGGCCACGACATCGGCAGACTTCACCTCTTCAATATTAACCTCTCCACTTGCCAGCCTCCAGGCTCTGAAGGGTCGCATCGTTTTCGCTAAGTTCTGCGCACCATCTAAATTTATCTTAAACTGGGTCACGCCTGGGAACAGTTTCACTATTTTTTCTGCAGCTTGGGTATCCTGCTCGTCCTCAGAGGGCATGAATTCCAATTCGAGCCGGGTTATCCCTTTGTGGCGGGAGTGATAATTTTGAAACATTTTCGACATGCTGACCCCGTAGGTGACTGTCTTTAGAGTTAAATGGGTCAGTTTTGGGAGGCGTGAGATGTCCTCAATTTCGTACAATTCGGCAGCTTTGATCACAAGGTGGGAAAGGTTGAGGAGGCCAAAGGACAAAATCTGGATTGAAATTTTGCAAATGATTAGAAAGTCTAGATGCTTCATGTCAAAAATAATGTCAACGCTCTTAAAAATAATGTTACCCTTTGAAAAAAATTGCAATATGACAATGAGGATGGAAACCATGCGAAAAATTTTCCCACGTAAATATACATAGTTTACTTACATAATTTAGAACTCAGCGTGCAGCTACGTTTCAAGAGGGTAACATTGCATATTCTTAAGAGTCCACCCACCTCTGAATTCGCCACAGGAACACATTGTCCTACAGGTTCCTCCCAAACGCCCAGGGTAAACTTTTCTAATGAATTCGGACATTTGGCCAGCATTTCGGAAAGTGGGAACTTGTCTGCAGATTTTCCACTTGTTTGCCCGCAGATGCTCTTGTACTTCAAGATCTTTAACTTTGTACAGGGTGCGAAATCTGGATAGAAGTTGGCCGTTATGGCGACCTCTTCCAAGTTGGGGGTAGAGTTTAGAATCCCCTGGAAAATTGTGACCTCCCCTGCTGAGTTTTCCTTATTAGGAAGTGAATCCCTACCCTGGAAGCTGAGCGACCTAAAATATAACTTCGTTAAAGGTGGAACAAGTGTTCGCATACACTCTTAAAAATCCAGTGTTAATCGTCACCGCACGGTGGGGTGGGCATAAGTGGCTTCACCGCATGGTGATAAATCTTGCCTGCATGCATGGTGACAAATTGTTTGTCTGAGGCTGGTGTCAAATTTATCACCATTCGGTGAGAAAGACTATCACCGCGCGTTGAAGTCACATATACACACCTATCAAGGCCGAATTTTTAAGAGTATGTACATATGATATATTTTCAGAAATCCGTCTAATATTTCGAAGTTGGGATACAAAATAATAAAAAATATGAACTCATACTTACTTTCAAATTTTGACTAATTGAATTATTAATGAATCCTTTTTCCAAATTTTTAAATTGAAAAAATTTGAGTGAAGAAATATGTAGTTTCTGAGCAGGTCCAATTCCTTAACCGATTATGTATTACGTATTTAATTCACACGGACCTTAAATTTGGGAGGGGCAGAAATCGTGGCGCCCCCATCAAGTCGTCATCCCCCCATTTCTCAACCAGGATGGACAATCTATTCCGGAAGTTGTACCCCGTCCAAGTTTCATTCAGTCTGGGTCCGTACACATTATCCGTGTAGATTTCAAGTCGGGCCAAAATTTTAGAAACTTCTGGCATCACGATGACACTGAAGCAAGCAGGATTTTTGGATTGGCATTTACAATTTCTGACGCAGCAGCAGCAGGCAGAGGTCAGATTCAGATAAATGTTCCTAGCCAGGTTGGGATTAAAGGAGGTCATTCCCCCCAAATCGGAGAAGACAATGCGTCCCCTCCGCCCGATAAGGGTGGCGCCCACATCTGCCCAAACTGTGCACACGGATCGGACCGAGTTCTTCAGGGTGAGGAAATCCAGGTGAGAGAAAATTTTGTCCAAGATCTGAAACCATACTTAATTATTTAAACGATAAAAAGATATTTCAAATTTATCTAATTACCGTATGTAACGAATTTAATCATAAGGTAAGCAAGGGGCTCACTCCGACGGCAATGTTCGCTTTCAAATTTCAATTTTTTTAACCATTTTGTTGCGTAACATACATATTTAAATCCTAATTTTTTCAAATTCAATTTTGTCTAAAAAAATGATTTTTTAATTTGAAAGCGAACATGAAACATTTCAGGTAGAGTGATTAAATGTGACTGTGATTAAATGCAATGATTAAATTCGTTACATACAGTAATTAATTAAATCGACAAATCTTCTTCTGAAACATTATACAACCGGGATTATGAGAGATAATTACATAAACAACAATTAAAATTTTTAATTACCACCGGGTTCATGATGGCCTTTCTCAGCAGCGAAATTTCTTCGAGGTTCATGTCTCCCATTTTTGGAATTATCGTCTCCATGACTGCCGTCAATTACTTAATTTTGTGCCAAAAATTGTCCTGTGTAAATATCACGGTTCCCTTTAAGAAAGTTGTACTATGTAAATTAATTTTTGTAGTAAGTGAGATTAATTCTTGATTCGTAAATTACCTCAATTTACAAATTCCAACACAAATGTTTCACCATGTTTTAATAACCTTGTACCCAAACTATAATTTTTGAACAGGTGAATGGCTTCTTACTGTATTTAATAAGTAAATGAAACCTTTGTAAATAAATACATATCCATTTGTGTATCCCAGCCGAACGAAGATGTGATGTCTGCGATGTTCTGTTGTGCTACAAAACAGTGGATAGAATACAAATGAGCGAAATTAATGATCAATTGAAATGGAGGATGTTTTTTTACATGCAAATATCCGTATGGTGTAAAAGAACGTGAAGCCCAAGGGTATTAACAAGTATGTGTTTAGCATGTGAATAAATCAAGCTGAGAGAATATTTGTATGTGCATCGCCACAATGACGCATCTGACGTTTGAATTGCATCATAATCATATCCAACTACTCGATAGCATGACTTGTTGGACGTACATATGTAGTACACACATAACTATTGGAATTTGCAAGCTGCAAGATTTTGCACATTATTTTATATGTTTGGCCCTTTAAAATATGTGAATGTTAAAGATGTCCAAAGTTTTTAGCAAGTATGCTCACCGTCTAAATTATAAAACTGTATTTATGTAAACGACTATATAATTCCTTCCACAGAAGAATTTTGATACCTATGCATTTATTAGTTTAAGGATATTTCTGCGAAATTGCACGATTCTCTTTGCGTGAAAAGTTGATGGATGTATGTAATTGTCCGTCCTCTTTCTTTTGAAACTTAATAGAAATTTGTAGAATAATATGTCACGTAGCCGACCTATTTCATTGAAATCCTGTCTATTTATGTATATACCACATCAGATAATCCTGTGTAAATACATTTTCTATCAAAATATGTTACGTGGAATACAATTTCGACGAAAGAAATATAGCTAAAGCCTAGTTCCATCATATTTTCAGCAGGCACTACATGCTTATGAAACATATGTATACAAAGTATGGGATCAATTTCGTGCAAATGTTACACGTCAAAAGTATACAAACGCGAAAAAACAATTTGCCACAGGAAATTAAGGAGGGGTAAGAGCGAGGTTTAGATTTTAATAATATTAAAAATTTTCACTAGTCACTTGGCGTTCAACTCATACAATTTTCATTTCATTTTAAAATTAATTTTTCGAAACTGTAAATGGAATTTATTATCAAGTAAGGTATCGTTGGAAAGGTCTCGACGAGAGGATTCCGAATATATATACTTTATTGGGTGTATGACCACTCCCTGAATTTCCAGAGACCGAAGAATATTTCTGAGTTTGTGCCCATCTACTGCATGTTAGCTCGCAATCTACTTGCTGTGTTAAATTGTGGAGAATTGAAGATTTTCATTCTTCTGCCTCTGGAACATGAGGGAGTGGTCATACACCCAATAAAGTATATATATTCGGAATCCACTCACCAATACCTTTCCAATGATACCCCATTTGTGGGGATCGGTGACCTTTGACCTACCAACCTTTCGACGCCGAAACAAGGTCACGCAAGTCGATTTCGACTATAAGTCCAATTTGACTATTGTACTACTACTAAAGACCTAAAGTTTGACCTTAAAGTCGCTTTCATGGTCACACCATAATTCTTTTTACGAAAAAAAATCAGAAAAATTTGCATATTTTCATGTATACTCTACGTATCCGTCAAAACTTCTGTAACTTTGTGGAGACTAAATATATGCATCGATTGATGCAAAAAATCGAAATTTTATGGTCTTTTGACGACGTCCAAAGTTTTTAAAACTATAACATGGGAGCTTATGGGAGGGGATAGTTACATACTCCCCGTCAGGTAGCGGTGGGAGTGTATCAGATCACCCCTTAAACAAGTTAACAATCTTTACATACAAAAATAACTCAACTTAAAGCATAAATTATTTGAAATTTGAGCACACTGTAGTACCTGTCACCAAATTCACTTATTATAAGTATATCATATGTGTAATTTTCACTAACTTTACCAAGTAATTCAAACCAGTCAACTATCTTGTGGATATATTTATATGAAAGTTAACATCTTACCATATTCCAATTAGATTATGTTGTTCCATACCTTCATGTTTTCAACTTAACAGTATTCCTACATTTATAGACGCATACATGTATGTGTGAATCAAATTACCTTAAATTTACCTGTACCTTAAACGTTATCATCACCCTGTGTGAATATTTTATCGGCGCGTGGCCTTAATTTATTTTAAGAATAACAGATTTATTAACTGATAATACGCACTGGCCAGAATATACATATGGAAGAATCACATTCATCAGAGGGCACACGAAGCTCATCAAGTGATGTGTATTCTTTAATGAAGAAATCACGCACGTCGTCAGTTTGTAGATTTTAGTGCTCCTCATGAATCAGAATTCGAATTCCGAAATGCCCGATTCTGACCCAAACTCAAGATCGGCGAATCATCAAAAACAGTCAAGACGGACTCATGAGGAATACTATTATGAACACGTTAGGCTTAAATATGTGACCGTTTTTCTGTTTGTAATCGCTTTTGGTGCGTTTGATGGGCTCAAATTGAACTCTCTGTTTAACTTTTTGTACACATCGTTCATAAAAAATATTATGCACAAATTCTCTGGGTCCACTCCTGCCCCGCTTTAACAGTATTTCCGATACGATTGAAGCCTGAGGCCCCCTCGCCCCTCTCGCGTTGCATAATTTACATATAAACGGCGCTTCACCAAATATTGCAACCTGGCTGCAAAATCGTGTACTGCTCAGTAGACAATTTCTCCTCCTTAGTATTTAGTGTGAATTTTGTTATCGATTTTAACTTCAAGCAGCGATTGTATTTATGTGGAACCAGATCTTAAGATATTAAAACAACTTAATAAAGCTAACTTCTACATAATATAACCCACGCGTCAACCTTATTTGACTTCAATTGGTGGCGAGCAGACCCCTCAAACTATATGAATCTCTCTCGTCATGTATTCTACCCAGTTTTTGCCGTTATTAATTCGTCACTTCAAATTTTCCCGGATAGGACGATTCCTTCCTTTCGAATGGGATGCAAACGAAGGAAAACTGAGGCTTTGCAAGTCCGAGAGAAGAGTCCGCCTCTCCCAAGTTCAATCTGTCGTTGCCCTGGCTTACTTTCTCGTCCTGCTGGGTCATTTCTTCCTGGGGAAACTAACCTTTCTGAAACGCCTACAAGCCATTCCGTTCCTGATCTGCTATACAATCCTGCTCTCTGGCGGATGGAATGTGAGGCTAAATATTGCTCCGATACAAACCATCAACTCAATCATAACGTTTGAAAATGAGTTTCTGAAAGGTTCGTTGAGCCAATTGAATCTCAATCATATCCAACAACCATGGGCTTATTTTTCAACCCGTTTCCAAGTTCGGAGTTTTAGGGACGAAAATTAAAAAAACGACTTTTTAACACCTTTTATATACGAAAAATGCAAAAATTTCAAATGAACATCAAAAAATTAGAAGAGATTCATATTTTTACAAAACAATTTTCCATAAAATTAAAAACAAATTTTGCCACGGTTTAAAAATTTTGGGAAATACATGCATTTTTTCATGTGTATTTTGTCTCAAGGCGACATGTTTTGATATATGTCAAAAATTATATATGAAAAACCCACAAATGTATGTTTGGGTCCCGTATTTAAATATGTTGAATGACGAATTTGGTTTAGACGGAGTTAACAAATTTTTACTTTTAGACAAGTCAAGTATCACCAAGTCCATCGAAGTAAAAATCATCTCCCTCTTTCTGTACGTGTCATCCTTCACGGTGGTCGCCGTTCCGGTCGCGGTCTTCCTTCTCCTCATCTTGGAACCATGCATGCCCCCTTTTCTCCTCTCAATGACGGACAACTGCAAGGAAATCTCTGTAGTTAAAATATTCGTCATCTTGTTCGAAGCTTGGATGGCTCTGCATATGTTCTGCTCCGGAACGACGTGGATCTTTTACATCCTCTCCGTCGGAATTGTTACCATTCTCAACTACTTCCAAATTTTGGAGAGGTTTGCACCCTATTTCCTAAATATTTCAGTAACAAAACACTCTAAATAATTCGAGGACAAATCTTCGCCTGTGGACCAATAAATGTGTGTTCCTCTGGCGGCACTGGTAATAACTGGCACTATCTACCAGTAATGTTGTGGTAATGATACGTTTTGTAATCGGAAACAAACTACTACGAGTCCGGTAGAAAATTATTACCAAACGAGTATGTGTTTTTTGGTTACTGAGTTTTTGACTTATGTATATATTTTCTTATGATGAAGAAACTTCTCAATCATACCCAAAAATAACTAAATCCGCGGGTGACTATTTGCCTCTAAATTATTTAGAGTTTAAATACATACATTTTTACTACTCTGTTCTGACTGCAGGCGGATTGGAAAATCTCAAACCATTTCCGAACATCTGGCTTGCGTAAAACTCTATCGGTGCATTCAGATCTTGGAAAAATTCTTGAACGGATTCCTCACCGTGCGAATCGTCCCAACCATGATATGCTGCACCCCCATGCTGCAAATCATCTGTCAATACGTCTGCGTCAAACTGCATGACGACATTCCAATGCCGGGGTTTCTCATATTTCCCCTGATTCTGTTCGATACCGGGATATTTAACGTCTTCGTGTTCACCTTGGCCTCCTGGGTGAACTCCAAGTCGACCAAGACGCTTAAACTGCATGTCAGGAATACGATCCAATTCGGCGGGAAAAGGTCCCTTCTTGGGAAAGAGATAAAGACGTGTGGCGTACTAAAGATCAAATTCGGCTCAAACTTTATCGATAATGGGACCCCACTGGTAATTCAGGACTTCTGTTTGAATTAGACTCTAAATCTGCTGCTGATTAGTTCTGGCGGTGTGGGAAGGAGAATGTAGGTTCGAGGTTTGCGTCAACCCGGGGACCTTGCACGCACCAGCTTTGGTAATCAGTCGCCAAGACGTAGGACAAGCTTAGAATAATCGTATGATAAACACATACAATAGATATATAAATACACAGACATATTTCCTTGACACACCTCAACACACAAACAGCTCAAGTAAAATAAATAAGTGGAGTCATAGAACGCCTTCATGCAATTTTGTGTATTAAATATTCTAAATTAAGTTTGCCTATAAAGAGTTATATAAAATATTTACGGGCCAATTTTAAAATTTTAATTTCAATA